CTTCTTCAAATTCGTGGATTTGGAGTTAGACGGGATGGAGTCAACCCTAAGATTCTTAGCCGAGAAGCAGTGACGAACATGGACCTTATGGGACACAGTATCAGTGGAACAACGTCCTTGAACATTCACCACAAGTATTGCTTCTTTATCCCACGTGTCCTCACACCACCAGTTTTCAGGAATACCATCTACAAACTCCTCCAATGTATGGAACTCCTCATGGTGAACCGTGACCTCCACGGAACTATCCGGTTTTATAGTTCCTGCAGCTGGCATCACCTGAAAAGAAACAAGACCAAAAACATTTAACAAGACACAAGTCTTGAGAAAATCTTGATCAAGATTTTCTCAATCCGTTGATACCTCAAGCCACCGTGGGAAACCGAATGAGACAAAAGGATGTAACTCCATCTTATCTTCATCTTCTCTCAACGTACTATGACCTTCACATAGGATCTTAAACACGGCACTCTCCTTGACGCATTTGTTGGTGATGCGAAGCACGAAGGTATCTTGGTTCTGGAGAACAATGTTGTTGCTGCTAAGAACTGTCTCTGGAACATAACGTAAGTCGTTAAGCAATTGTATGACTTGCTCATTGGTCTTGATGATCCTCCCAAACTCTTGTCTCCTTACTGATCTATCAACGTGCTCTATCTTCACATGGAACTTGCAACGGACAGGTTTGTGATCGCTCTCTGTCACGTCCATACAAGCATCATACCTGTCCATAACACGCACCATGACAAAAGTGTTATGTTGATTCTGGAGGGGCTTAGATCTAAGTGTACCAGTAAAAGTACTTTTAGTAGATAAGATATTTTCATAAAGGAAAAATATAATATCAAATTTTGAGATTGCATAGATCTAACTAGTTGTAAATTAATTATTCACATAATTTATATACAAAAGCTAAAATGGGTATTTGCCTCAATATAGTTTTCTCTCTAAATGTTTTGCTTTATTGGTAGTTAATTTGTTAGTTCTCAACATATTAGAAAATTCTTGAGAAGATAAGAGTTTGAATATTTAGAAAACTGGAAAGAAGAGCTTACATCATGATTGAAGCAACCACTGGACAGTCTAGACTACATTCAGATTCTGGACTTGTGCGTGTGTCTCTGTATATTACTCTATCACACCATGCAGGAATCCGTTTTTTCTCCCCTGAATCATAACCTGAGGAAGAGAGGATTGATGGTAAACTTTGTAACATTTAACATCCTACAAACACTTGGATACAAATGTGGTTTATGTGTACCTCCTAAGCCAGGCCGGTGTCTTTCAAACTTATAAGTTGGAGGGAATGTGATTATGGCTTCACGCATTCCTTGGAAGACTTTTCCAGCTTTCATCTCTGCTCTGAGCTGATCTTTTTCTCTAAGCCAATCAAAGCTTCTTTGTGAGACAAAGTCCCTAGCTTCATCATATGATATATCAAAGAGCCTGTAGTTGAAATCACCAAAAAATACAACCATGTCTGCCTCTGCTAGGTCTTGTTTGGTCTCTTCCGTGTTGACGTTTACATTCTGCAGAAAGTGTGATGAGTGTAAGACAAGCAAGAATCTAAACATGATGAAAAAAGAAGGGGGCTTACATTTGCGCTCTTTGTGGTATGAGAACATGTAGTCACACCAGCTGCAAAAGTTAAAAGACATATACATGATGATGCCTTAAGTAAAGAGAAAAGAGGTGAAAAGTGGACATAGAGACATACCAGCTGGTGCATTATGAGCATTTGATGACCTTGAAAAGGACATTGTTTTGTAGATATGATCAAAATCAGCATTTCTCCGGTTTACAGCTTCTAGATGTGCAGCCAAGTGACAGTTTATGAAGCACATGATCCTATCAAAGACCCTAATTCTCAAACCTACACCTCCCTAACATACAAAAGTAAATCAAGTAACATGCCACTATTATCAGAAATCACACATTGTTGGAGCTGGAAGCAATGGTAATGAGACATTATAAGTACATACCTTGTTACCAATTGCGCGTCCAAAACCACATGGAACTGCTGCAACATCAATGTCACCTACATGTGTTCTCAGATTCTTCCTCACCCTGAATTGAAACCAAAACATTTTATGACACCATCATGGTTACTTGTCCATTAGATTGTTCTCAAACTCACCAAAGTGATATGAGCAAACCAGCTAACTGCCTTGATCCCATACGTTCAAAGACTGCTTTTTCATCTAAGGTCTTCCCTATTGTGTCTATCCAGTACTGCCCTATTGAACTCCCTTCATTTCCTCCTACCTAATATAGAAACAAAAAGAGTTTTAAAATAACACATCTAAGCTATTGTCTCTTTCAACTACTGTCTCACCGATTCTTTAGCTGCTGACATTGCCAAAAAACCAGCTCCCATCTCTACTTCTTGCAAACCCACAACAAGAATACCAACATCTGACGCTACAGAGCCTAACCAAGACATAAGTGCATCATGTGAAGCTTTTCCCTGGCCAACATTCCATGAACCAATCAAAATCCTAACACTATCTGTCTGTGCATATGTCCTTTCTTTTTCAGACAGTTCTGATCTTATTATCCCATCAAGAGGTCCAGGAGACATCACATGCCATCCACGTATACCACCATGAGTGGCTAAGCTGAAAATGTAGCCATTAGCTGCTGCCATCTTTATCACTGCGTTATTATGTGCAACCCATCCGGCGATTAGATTTCCTTCAAGATCAATAATCTGGATGTGACCACTAACATAACCAATGTATATTCTTTCCCCAAAAGTGCAGAAACACAACACAGCACACTGGTGGTGATGAAAATCTTGTAACCTGTTTCCATTACCGTCCCATTGTACAAGCAAACCATTTGTGCAACCGGTCCAAACCATGCCATCTCCGGCTAATACAATTGCTTCTGTTCTTTTAGCATCTTCGTTTGCTCCTCCTCTTGTTGCAACTCTTCTGACAGCATCCGCAGCTCCCATGATAGCATTCCTTGAGCGTTGCAGGAACCCATGTGGCTTTTCTTTTTTAGAAGTGGAAGCAATCTTAACCTTTGTCTCATCTTCTGGTGGCTGATCCTGCCCTGATGGCATTTCCACGCGGTTTTCTGTTTGGCCTTCTGTGTTGAAAACTTTCAGTAGCTCCTTTGTACGACCATCCCTGCAAACATATTTGACCCCTTAAGAAAATCACAGCCAAGAAGACATAAGTATCAACTTTTGTGTATCAGATACTCACCATAAGGAGAAGGTGTGAAGCTGAGCAGCCCATACTTTAGATCTTACATTATCAGCTAATAAAGATTTGACTTCAGAGGAAGATATGCTGCAGTTACCATTAACAGTAACTTGAGCCTTGAGATCAATCCCTGACTTCTCAACCAACAAAGCAGCCATATGTTTCTCCTCTAATCTAATAGAAAGTGATTTCTCCATAGTTTCCCATGTCCATATCTTGATCATACCACCTTCTGAACATGACCACAAATCACCTACATTTTCCAGTTACAAGCTTATGGATTAAATATTAAAATTTAACCATTATTAGAAAGAAAAGTGAGATTTGATTTCAAGAGAGATTACCATAAGAACTCATGATTATAGAATTGACAGGACCCTTATGAGCTTGCCAAGAGAGGCCTTCATTGAAAGGAGTATCATCACCATTACCATCACCATCACCATCATCATTATTAACAGCTCCATGATCCATCTTCCAAGACATAATCTTACCATCCTTGTGACCACTCCAAACAAGCCTATTCCCATTGTCAACCATCAAACAAGTGGTGGGAGAAGTACTCGCCGACTCATGAAACGGTGCAGCATCCTCATCTCCTCTCCTTACACGGCCGCTTAGACCACACCCCGGCTCGAACGCATCATCAAAGTTCCAGAACCTAACGCCGCTCTCTTGTCCTGCCCATAGTTGTGTTCCTGTACAAGCTATGTTCCTCAAAAATCTCCCAACCTGAGTCTCCTTAAGTGGATGCGGCCTTAGCTCCAAGCAAGGAGGACGCGCAGAGTGCAACGGAGACCGCGTGGGGACTTTGAACATCCCCACGCCGCCTCCCGAGCCTACAAATTCAGGAAGGGGCTGAAAATCTTCTCCGATTTCCGGCTGATGAGTGATCAAGTAATCATCGGAATCGTTGATGTCTCCGGTGAAAGGGAAGGAGGAGGAGTTGATGGTGGTGGCGTAAGGGTAGAACTCGTCATCAGAAGAATCACCGGAGATACTGCAACCGGAGATGATCTCGGTGATTTTGGGGATGTCATCGAGGCTATGCTGTTGGCGATGGCGGTGGTGACGGGCTTTTTGACCGGAGGCACGGAGCTGGTGGCTGTAGGAATGGATTTTACGAGGAGGAGGAACAGAGCTCATGGAGGAGAGGATGTCCTCATCGTTGTCGGAGTGGTGGTGGTTGTTGTTGTTGTTAATTTCCATGGAGGAAAGATTGATGAAAGAGAGGAATGAAAGTAAAGAGACATGAGATGAAGAAAATGTAAGAAGAGAAACAAAAGGAGAGAGATGAAGCGTAGTGTTCGGGAGAAACATGGTGCAGAGAGTTTGTTTCTCTGTCTCTATTTTTCATTGACAATACGCGCCATTTTCTCCATTTCGATTTTAAATAATTATATATATTTCTTTAAATGTAACCGTGCGTGACACTCAAAAGACTATTAAACATACAAAGTAAATATTAATGTTGATTGATAATCATAATCACACTCAGACATCAGTAGTTGGTAAATGTTTTTGGGAATTGATAGAATGAGAATTATGCGATAATATGAAAGGAATATAGAAAAAATAACAAATTCAAATTTGTTATGAAAATATTTTTCTGTATTTTGTCTTTTTATTTGTAGAATGACTATTCTATTCAAGATATATTGTAAAAAGCTTTCTAGAATTGATGGCATAAGTCACATTTTCCATTCTATTTAGTGATATTATTATTCAAGCTCGGAATATGTGAATTCTGGATTTTCACCTTTTACAAAAAAAAAATCTGATAAAATAAGAGCTCGCACATAGTATATAATATAACGAAACACTTGAAGGCAAAACAAATGTAAACCACAAACTTAACAAAATCAAACTACACAAACCGCTAATGTGTAATACAATTACACACATTGAACAAATATTTATTTCAACGGTCCATACAAGTTTAGATTACCTGCAGTGGAATCAGTAATAGATTGAAGCTTATGTAGTGATCTCCATCACACAGCATACATTAATTGAAGCTTATGTATAAGCTTTATGTAGTGATCAGTAACGCATCATCAAAAAGCACAAGGGGGAGGGGAACGTCTAAGATGTTTTCTTCTTCTTCCAAATTCGAATCTTCTCTAATCCCTGAAAGTTGATGCTAAAGGTAACATTATCTTCTTGATCATAAGGCTTATCCAAAAGATTCATGTTATTATTTACCAAGTGTGGTTTCACAGCAACTTGGTTATCAGCAATACAGATTGCCTCAAACCCTAATGGAACCAGAACATTCTCGTATCTGCAGAGTCAAAAGATTACAGAATGAAGATTGGTCACAACATCTCAGCGGTGTTGCTGATAGTAAACAGAGAAAAGAGGAGAACACATTACTCAGAGACAGATACTTTGTAAGGAGGACCTCCACCTCCAGAACGCTCATCGATCTGCCAAAAGACAGCCTTTTTTTTAATTCAGAAAATGTGAGGAAAGGTTTTAGAGAATAGAGATGTTATGATGCTTACAGGAAACACCAACGTTATGAGCTCTCCATCTGGTTTCAGAAGTTTTTCCATTCGCTGTCCCCATAGAGGTCTCATGCTAGGTTCAAAGGTACAGAAGAAACTGCGAGAGTGGTCATATATGTGTAAGCACGTTATATACTGTGTATTGTATAAAACCAGGAATAGAGAGTAGGACTGTGCACATACGTACAGTCGAAAATGAGATCGAATTTTTCAGCTGGCTCCCAAGTGAAGAAGTCTTCACTCAAGAAAGAGAAGTATTTTGCGTTGGGCAGAGAGGAAAATCTCTGCATTGAGATTAAAACATAAATGTGTTTGACCTAATTAAGTGCACCACAAAGAGCTAATAATAAGGACTCTTGAGTCTTGACTCAAAAAATAGTCAGCAATAGTTCAATCAATAATACATGATGAAACTATATTAGGTGTCCAAATCTGAGAAAAAAACCATTTAACACCTTTGATGATTGCTCAACCACAGTTTTTGAGATGTCCAGTCCAACTACATAACGATCAGGGCAGGCCATAGTCACCACATCATAACCCTGCCAAAAAAAAAAAAAAAAAAAAAAACATGGTTCATTGTCTGTCTCAAATGATGAAAGAAACATAACAAGGAAGCATTCAGGTTTATGGAAAAGATCAATAACTGATGAATAAGAAAATCAGCAAGTAATGCAAAACACCCATCACACTAGGTAGGTGTGTAAAACAGAAGCAAAGAAGCTTTAAGGCAATTGATTTCAAGCGTTGACTTGTCAAAAGAGACAAAAAGTGTGATAGAAGAAAGAACATACGGTTCCACAACCAGGAACAAGAGTTCTGCCTTTAGGCAATGAACAAGTGTCAGAGAGATGCAAGATGATCGGAGTTGGTCCTCCCAAGTCCCATGGAGTTGCTCCTGCTTCCCAGCTCTTCTCCCATCCACCTTAAAAAACAAATACACATCAATACCATTCAACGAATCACAACGCTTCAGGGCATTAGAAGAAAGATGATCTAGTTACCGGCGTTATCCATCGAGTCAACGAAACGAAGGCGAAGGAGATGGGATGGGACTCAGAAACGAAACAGCGAGTAATGTGCAGCACAAAGGTTTTGGCAATGAGAGTTTCGTTTTATAATAATTTTGTCCGACAGCAACACGCTACCAGGGGATGATGAGCTGGTCGATGAAAGTGAAGCTTCTGGTGTGGTTAGAGGTTTTGCTGTTTCGGTTACTTGCAGTTGTCACTGTATTGATATTGGTAAAGAGCTTGTACATTAAGAGACTATAAATGAAAAATCTTTTAATTTCAAAGAATTGAGTTGTGATGTGTATGTTTTCATGGAGACTCACAATTTACAACGAGACTTTGTATCTTCCCCCCTAAGAAGATGGTGGAATCAATCAAGGTAGAAGAGAGTGACGATCTTGCGGAGATTTTTAGCTTCTTGACATATCTCCATGAGACGCGAAGCAGATTACTTGTTGTACTTGTGATATGATGTCCATTTACACAGGCTGCACACAACAAAGCAACGCAATAACTCAGTTTCATTATGTGTATAGTAACCATCTTCTTGAAGATCAAATGTGACGTTGATATCAATAACCAACCTGCTAGCGTCTAATAATGGCAAATGATCATTATCTGACTTTTCTACCACATTGTGTACCTGTGAATGAGATAGCAAAAGATAACAGCTTCAGATGCAAATAACCCAACAAGATTGATCCTGACTTTTAGAACTAGTTTTTGCTTTACTTTAGACAAGAATTCTTGGCTCTCAGGAGGTTGTTTTTTCAAACTTTGAGGTAAAATTACAGTAAGAAGCTCTGGCCTCTCTGCTCGCAATGCACCTCTGATAACAGATGTATTAGTTCCAGATGCACCTGAAGTGTATATATGATTTTTTTCTGCAAGAACCAGAATGGTCTGATAGATGTTTTAGGAAGAAATGATTGGAGCCAAACACACAGGATAATGAAGTTCAGATGACTCACTGTAATAACCATGGCGTAGCTAAGTATCTCAATCAGTTCCTGATGCATGAAACCCATGTTTCTTGTCCCAAAGAAACCAATTGATCTAGGGCCTTGTTGCTGTATCGCCAATAGCTCTTGTTAATTTTAACATGCAAGAATCCGGAGGCCGGAAGCTTCATCTGATTCAAGCCCACATGTAATATGATCATCTTCATTTCTCCAAATATCTGTGTTATCTTGGTCTTTGGTGTGTTCAGGCAAGCACTGCACACATCATATAAAAATCAGAGTAACTCTCAAGATCTCATATATAAACCTCTATCTTATACAATTACAAGAAGCAGAGCAACATGCTTTCAAGGCCAAGAAATTCTGAACGCAACACGCATAGCTTTATCATCAACAAAACTAGTATATATCTGAGTTATGAAATCACCTCCTACAGGAACTAGAGGATCGGCGACTAAAGTTTGGGTTTTTTTGAACTGAGACACGAAGTGTGCAAAACACATAAAGAAATAAACTTTTAACCGGAGAATATTCTCATTGCAGCTGTTAACTCCAATCCAATGCTATATGTAGTTTCTTCACGCTTATTATACCCTTACACGTGTCAACGTGTCTCTATTTGAAGAAATAAACTTAGAGAGATGGAATACATTTGCAGTAAAAGGTCAACTAATGTGTTTTACAGAGAGATAACGGAAGTGTAAATTTATGTGATTCAAGATATTTATTTCAATCAAAGGTCCCATCTTTTCTTGACTCGGAACATCAAGACTGAGGTTTTGATGTCATCTTGTGGAACTTGGAGCATGAACTGCACTTTCATCTTCATTGGCGTCGCTTTCACTTTTCCATCTTCATCCCCAACCTGTGTTGCAATAATCCCAAATTTTAGTTGTGCTATCATCTCATAACAACCTAGCTCATACTACTCTCAGACCAATCACACAAGAGACTCCTGAATAAAATCTTTTTAAGTATTCTAATGCAACACAGACTAGTCAGATGCTATGTTACATTGGGTAGAATTGTCACTGTTTGGTGAATGTTTTTATATGCTATACATTATAATCAAATGACTAGGTTTGGGGCTAAGATAGAAAAAGGGTTTCACAGATGAGATAAAAAGAAGACTAAAGGTTGGTGCTTTACCCAGAGAGATGCCCAGCCAAGGCGTACATCAGAGTCATAGCCAGCTTTGAACTTGTAGTCTTTACCATATGTGCGTTTGTACACTGCACTCCACATGTTTGAATCAAAGTTGTACCAGTAGCTGCATACCAAGTCACCATCATCATGATATTATATACTTTCACAAACTCAATAATGTAATGGTTCTACAAAAAGATTAGGAGGAGAAACACAGAGGCCACTAACCTCAACTTATCGGAAGGGCTAAACCGGCGCTTGAATGCAAATGAAACAGCATTTGAAGGAAGGGAGATGGTGGGAATGAAAGACAATGCTTCATCCTGTATGAAAAAAAAATGGCGAGGAATGGTATTATTCTATTACATGTACAAGTTATTGTATAATAACACAAAAAGCTAAGAGACAATTTTGTATAAGTCCTCCAAACCTTATAAGCATATCTCAGCCTCAACTCTTCATCTGTGTAAACAGCGGAACAAAGACCATTCATAGCTTGACGTTTGAGGATACCGTTGACAGATACTATTCTCTTGCTCTTCTCCTCCTCCTCCACTTCTTTCTCTTGTACTGAAACTTCCCCAAGCGGGAACTTAAGAGTCGCTCTTGGCTGCAAGACGATAAAACCGCCAAGCATTACAACAAACACTTAAACGTAACAAGTTGCAAAAGTACACGCAACCAAACTCTCGCAAATGCAAAAAAAAAAACATGAACAAAACCAAACAGAAAAGATGGTACTCACATAGCCAATAGGAACAGGTGATGAAAGCTCGAGGGAATAGCCAGGTTCAGCTAGATTTGCCTCCATAGCAATCTCTCCTTGTTGCGCCTGCAACAACATACACTAGTATTAGTGACCCAGTAGACAAATTCATAGTAGCAACCAACATAATCAAGGGGTGAACGCTGATAGCAGAATCCAAGGAAACGCCAAGTTTCAGTAGCTACTAATAGTTATTTGATGGAAAGCTCTCAAAACATGCTGATAGAGACAATCAGACTATATAAATGCCAGATGCACAATAAGACACGGAACCAAAGTCAACACCTTTCAATGAAAAACAAATCCAAAATCAAACACAGAAACTACTGTTCTGTTTCATACATGACAAATTTCCACCACATGCATGCCCACTTCACCAATGTAGATTAGCCTCATAACCAATTTAGTTTAATCAGACACAAATACCCAATCAAACACAGAAACCCAAACCAAGGATACCAGTTACTAACTTACTCTACCTATCAACACTCTTCAACGAACATACGAATACTAAACCAAACACAGAAACTGTTGTTGTGTTCTATCAATGCCAGATGCCAGAATAGGAAAGGAAACCAAAGTCAACACCTTTCAATGTAAAAAACAAAAGCACAATCAAACACACAGAAAAACAGCTGTTATGTTCCATAGAAAGACAAATCGCCACCACATGTACTCTCACTTGGTCAATTTAGCCTCATAAAGAAGTGTTTTTCTTCTCTCATCAGTAGAGAGACGTACCTTGACATTATGAAGAGCTCTGAGCTGAAGGCGCGGAGAAACATCAACGGTACTCTTAACAAAAGTGTTCTTCTCCTCGACATCATAGAGAACAGAGACGTACTTGGAAGTGAGAGAGAGCTGAGGCTGAGAGACCTCGCGCTGAGTGTTGTTCTGAAACGATAGCTTGAGCTTGGCGAGGTTATCAAAGATCTTACAAGAGACTTTGTTGAAGAAGAGGAGACTCTCGCTGTCGAATTCAGATGTGACGCGGAGTTTCGGTCTGTTCAGGCTCTTGAGAAGAGGAAAGACAGAGGAAGGTGGTTCAGAGGATGGTGATTGAAGGGTAGGAGGAGGAGGGGGAGGGGGAGTGGAAAGGCTTTGAGGAGATGGATCCGCCATTGAAGAGGATTTGGAGGAATCTCTCTATCTATGGGGAGGGGAAGTCGTAACAAAGGGAGTCAAGTGTGTAGATGGGAAGAGTATGAAACGGACGGTTGTTGTTTCTCTTTTTCCATTTTCATTTTTTTTTAGGACAATAATAAAGAGTTTAAGCTACTTCACCTGTCTGGTTATTTTGTACACGTGGTGATGATGAGGTTTAAACATAAACAATTATATTAATAAATCAAATACAAAAAATAAAGATGTGGGGCTAACTATAATATTTTTTTAGTGAGTAATTTTTTTTTAATATAAAAGGATTAAATCCGAGTCTATTAAAAACACAGAACTAACTCTCGGATGGAGGTACAGCGCACGGATAAACCCTCTCCTGGACACTCAAATGGATCGAAAGCAATAATCTATATAAGTGTGACCAGTGGAATTTGAACTCGGATTCGCCTTATTAGGTTTATTTCATCTTTAAATAATAAGGCATAGTACATTATACCTTATCATAACAACAAATAAGACTGGAAATAGTGTTTTTCTTAAGCTTACACTAGTGTCTTCTTGTAAGGAAAATATAGTTGTTACTTTTTATATATATAATCTGTTTTGATTTATGTATCGTCGTAGAATAAAAATTATGTTTTAAAATAAGTGTTATTTTATGCTTTCAATTAAGACTAGAAAAATAAATCGAATCCAAAAACCCAACCGAATTCATGAGAATTTGATTTTTGTTTATGCTTTCATTTATTTAGTTTTCTTTCTATCAATAACTATGTTTACCTTTCGTTTGATTTTGAATGGTCACGTTCAATACTCTTTTCTTATTTTTGAATCGATTTTACTTATGTTTTTGTTACAAAATATGTATAAATCAAATATTTTATAAATCAAAAACCAATTTTACTTATGTTTTGGTTAGAAAATAGATAAAAATTAGGTATTTATAAAACCGATGAACTAACTGGGACCTAAACCTAAAAGTATATCAATTGTATCGGTTATCTAAAGATTTACCGATCCCGACCCGAATCTGATAGAATCCGAATTAATCTCGAACCAAATTTTCATATAATCCGAATGGATCTAATTTTGATAAACCCAAAAACTGAAACTTGATTGGATAAAACCGAAACCCGCAAAACCCGATTGAGACTCCGAATGGTCATGCTTAATTTAATACAAAATCTATTAACTGTATATTTTATTTTATATTTTTATTAGTTGAAATTAGTTAATTATATTTTACCACCGATCTCTCCCCTATTTACTATGGCAAGAGGCAGTCAAAGTAAGAATCTGATCTTTCTTGTTCCCAAGAATCATCTCTCAGCTTCTCAAATGATATCTCATTCCCATCTCCCCTCTCTCTCTACTCTTCCCTCTCAACACTCCTCCCCTCTCCTTTCCTTCCTCCTCCATCTCCATGTCCACTCTCCACCCACCCAACCCCACCACCATTCCCCCTCTCTCCCCCTCAGATCCCCATCCAGTCAACTCAACTCCCCCTCCTCCTCTCCGAATCGCCATCATCGGATTCGACAACTACGACCACTTCCTCGCCAAAACCCTACTCTCTCAAGGCCACACTCTCCTCGCACACTCCTTATCCGATCACTCCTCCTCAGCTTCCCTTCTCAACGTCTCCTTCTTCACCACAGACCTCCACGAACTCTGCCAACGCCACCCCGACATCATCCTACTCTCCACCTCCATCCAAACCACGGAAAACATCCTCAAAACGCTCCCGTTTCATTTACTCCACCCCAACACACTCTTCGTAGACGTCCTCCCCGTAAAAGTCTTCGCAAAGACTCTCCTCCTCCAATACTTACCTCAACACTTCAACATTCTCTGCACGCACCCAATGTTCGGCCCACCACAGCAGAGCGTGGACTCGAGAGGTCCACGCTTCGTGTACGATAAGGTCAGGATCATCGGCGGAGATGGAGTCTCGAGGTGTGAGAGTTTTCTCGGAGTATTTGAGAGGGAAGGGTGCGAGATGGTGGAGATGAGCTGCGCTGATCACGATCGTTACGCTGCTGGATCGCAGTTCCTAACGCATACGGTTGGTAGGGTTTTGGAGATGATGAATCTCGAAACGACGCCGATTAACACTAGAGGGTATGAGGCGTTACTTGGTTTGGTTGAGAATACTCGTGGTGATAGCTTTGATTTGTACTATGAGCTGTTTGTTTATAATAACAACTCGTTGGAGATGTTGGAGAAGTTGGGTTGTGCTTTTGAGTCCTTGCGTAAAGAACTTTTCGGTAGCCTTCACGGTGTTGTTAGTAAGAACTTGTTTGAAGGTGAGACACATAAAGAAACTCGAAATGGTATGATCAGGTCAAAAGATGATGCTGATTTCAACTATGGCTATAACACCGCAAGGTGGCTTAAGATTGGTATAGTCGGGTTTGGCAATTTTGGACAGTTTCTAGCGAAGACAATGGTCAAGCAGGGCCACACGGTGTTAGCGTATTCGAGAACAGACTACACTGATGCAGCTTCCAAGCTTGGCGTCGTGTTTTATTCAGACGTTGATGATCTATTTGAAGAGGATCCTGAAGTTATTCTTCTATGTACGTCGATCCTCTCGACTGAGAAAGTTCTCAAGTCACTCCCGTTTCAGAGACTGAAGAGGGGTACGCTTTTCGTGGATGTGCTTTCCGTAAAAGAGTTCCCGAGGAATGCATTTCTTCGAGTTCTCCCACAGGACTTTGATATTTTGTGCACACATCCCATGTTTGGTCCAGAGAGTGGTAAGAATGGATGGAACGGTCTTTCCTTTGTGTTTGATAAGGTTAGGATCGGGATGGATGATAGAAGAAGAACATCTAGGTGTGATAGTTTTCTAGATATTTTTGCCAGTGAAGGATGTTCTATGGTTGAGATGTCGTGTGCTGAACATGATCGGTATGCGGCTGGATCGCAGTTTATCACACACACGGTAGGAAGGGTTCTGGAGAAGCTGAGTTTGGAATCTACTCCGATCGATACCAAGGGTTACGAGACATTGTTGAAACTGGTGGAGAGCACTGCTGGTGATAGCTTTGATCTTTACTATGGACTGTTTTTATACAATCCTAATGCGATGGAGCAGTTTGAGAGGTTTGGTTCTGCTTTGGAATCGTTGAAGAAACAGCTCTTTGGAAGACTACATTGTCTTCTGCATAAGCAGCTGTTTGGAAATGATGAGGAGAGTCGAATCATGTTGGAGACAACTGGTTTGTCCACATTCAGATGAGCAAAATAATTTTCCTAAACCATCTTTGCTAAACTATAAAATATTGCTTTAGTTAATGTTATCTCAGTCTGGCTCCTTGACTTTTAATTCCATCGTGATGCCTTAAGTTCGAAACTGGTTTTCTTACTTAGGAGTGTTTTAAAATGCTTTGGTGACTATTAGTCTATAAGCTTTTCTTGTAGCTTTGTGTGACCCTGAAGTGGGTCTGTTGTAACCAGTTTCGAGTTTCTAAACAGATACTAATTGTAAACAAAAGTTTGGGCTCTACTTCACCTTTTGATTGTTGTGTTGCTTCTGTTTACGTCATATTTCCCACTTATAATACAGGAGACGGATTCACACTCGTAATTATATTCTTCTTCTTTGGGTTCTTCTATAAAAGAACGTTGCTGTTTCAGCATCTTTCAGACGAAAGTTAGGTACCCCACGTTTTGAACAAGGCCAAGCTTTTGAGAATACTTAAGGTTCGGTAAATCACTTAATGTTCCTTCCATTGCTCAGTTCTCAAAATACAGGAGAAGGATAGGGAGTTCTCACGTTTATCTGGATTGCTATAGTCTTGTCTTTTGGTTTCTTCTAGAAGAGAGAACATTGTTGTTTCAGTGTCTTTCAATAAAAATTGATACTTTAAAACGTATCCTGATACTTGCGTCAGGTCGTGGAGAAAAAAAAGAAGCTAAGTCTTTAAGGTGAAACAAAGCTCAAAAAGGTTCTTTTAAGCATCTCTTACTTATTTCGGAAACCACGCATCATCTTTCATTGTCATGCTGATCAAGAACCTATTCATTCTTTACATTTTCAACTTATTTAAAAACATTTCATTTTGGAATTGGTTCTGTTGATTGATGCTTGGCTTGATAGTAGTATATATATATTCTTCTCATTCTTGTTATCCTCCTAACAATACTAGAGCTTTATCATTTATAATGTCAGGCTATGCCAAAGCAACATATGGGGAAAAGAGCAAAGATTTTGATAAAGCTCATGCAATTTACCCACCAAAACAGAGTGATATAACTGGTAAAGTCATCATCTATACCCTTGTAGGGCTTTGCATTCTGCTCTGTCTCTTCATCAGCATCGGTTTCTATGTCATAGCTAAGCCACTTAAAGCAAGCCTGACGTCAGTGGCTTTAAGAAACCTCAAGTACAACGATACATCATCATCATCATGGCCTTATTTCAACGCGACACTAGCTATGAAGATCAGAATTGACAATCCGAATTTTGGCTTCTTTGAGTTTCCAACTAGTAAAGGAGATATCATGTACAATGGTCGTGTTGTTGGTGAAATAAAGGTTAGTGGACAGAGAGTGGATTCATACAGTGCCATAAGATTAGAGGTTAGGACAGAAGTGAGTTACAGAGGGAATCATGTTTGGTTGAAGAATGATATAAAGAGAGGGTTGATTATCCTCAAGATTGAAGCTAAACTGAGAGGGGAAGTACACTTGTTGGCTTTGAACAAGGGAAGTGTGAATTTGAAGTGTTTGATGCATCTTAATCTGATAGATGAAGTGATTCAACGTTTGTGGTGTAAATGAGATCTCTCTTAGTTTATGTTTATAAGTTGATTTTGAAGTATACTTTGGTTGTATTAAATTATCAATGGATTAATTTAAAATTTCTATATACATTTTGTCACTACCAAATTCACATTTTTCATTTCTAAATTATCACGGTTAATTTGTACCTAAAATTATTAATGTGAAGTTTGGAATGTTTTTACCAGCAATATCTTTGTTCTTAAACCTTTTTACAAGAAAAAGATAAAATGTTGAAATGTGAGTTTTTCTTTTTCAATTTGTTACAAACAAGTGTTGTCTTTGATTAATTAAAATATAGTTTGCGTTTGTTAACATTAGAAGCTTCATCAGCTTTGTCGTCACTCTTAAGTCTTATCTAAACTTTTTAGTTTCTTATGCTAATTTACGTCTATGCATATATCATTCTCCAAAGACGCAATCGTTTTTAGTTTTATTTTATTTTTAATCTTGTGTGTGGTTTCAGTGAAAGAGCATCTTTGATGTTGTGACTTGAAACTAATTCTAACAACAATGATCAAGTAAAGTATCAATACTCTCTTTCGCTATACGTACCTTTCACCATGCATTAGATGTGTTTAGTTGATCTTCTGAATGATCCATAAAAGGAGAATAACATTTATGATAAGAGCTCAACCTGAACAATACACGTAGTAAATATTATTTTTTGGCAATTTGGAGACTATAATCTATGTAACCAGAACCGGCCATGTTTTTGATAAAGCTATCATATCTCTTCTAGAACAACCATTTGGTCCTTGCACCAACAAAACCTAGAAGCTCTCAAAGCATGTCGTAGATTTAGCTCCTGCTCGTGGACTTCTTGATGTTGTGAGATATCATGATCAAAAAACAGTTTCTAAATTTACTACTTTACATGAAACCGACCCGGTCAGAAAATAAAAACTTGGATTCTAAAGTAAAAGGCCAGTTGCTGCAATCAGCGTCATGGTGTTTTAAACAACTTTCTTGTTCCAAGAAGTTAAAATCAATACTTTCAAGAGATTCGTCTCGTGTAACAATATCATATCTACCAAATTAAACTATTTGTATGTGTTCCTGTTATAAAATCAACTTTACTCACGGAAATATCGTTTTTTCACACAAGAGCGATGTCATCTTGAATCCGTCTTCTTCAACAAAATGTATAAACCTAAACTAAACAAGTCGACAAAATAAAATAAAAAACTACACTGAACAAAAGAAAACAGAAAAGTCTCACAACAATCATAATTGATAATATTTTCAGGATTTTCGGCTATTCCCAAACACCGAGTCAAAGATCAGATCAGAGATAACGTGTCCAACAACTCGATCAATTAAAAAAAATAGTTACGGGTTGAACTTTTCTTAGGTCTCAATCACAAACCCTTCCTATGTAGTCTGCATACGCAGTAAACGTTCATGACTACATTAAGTTGGTTGATTACCATTTTTTTTTTGTAAGTTGGTTCTCTATCATCCGTTTCTCGTTGACAATACAAGAACCATATATATTAATGTGCTATGTAATTCAAACAATGTTAATCCACTACATTATAATCTCAAATATACAAAGTTGTGATAGAAAGTCTAATATGCTAAAACCTTTGAAATGCTTACACGAATAATTTTTTTTTTAAAAATCATATACTCTAGACTTTGTAGCCAGTACCAAATAAACACTTTTCCTTACATATAGAACTGTTTGGTGTATTACAATAATGATGTTCTAAGATACAATAGCATATAACTGATCACAATAGAGATAGTCTTTAAAAACAAATTTTGTGTAGCTGTGGAATTCCAAAGATAATATAGAAAAAAAAAACAACTAAGATTTGACATAGAAATCAAATGGGAGAAACAATACTAAAGAGAAGTTTAGATTTCTTGTATAAAGAAATAAATATATAAAAGAAGAAAATGGAAGGTAACAAAGCACCAAAACCTAAAATCAATATTAATAAACAACAAAACCATACTCTTCACCTTATAAGATACATAACAAAGAAGCAAAGAATATTAAAGCATCAATGGATGGTTTAATACCAATTGTGTTTAAGGCTGTGAAGAAGAACCTTACTCGCCGTCGTTACGAGCGTCTCTCCTCCACCACCACCACCACAACTCGTGAGTCTTGCGACGTTGAAATGAACGTGGACGGTCACCATCGACGTCGCTGGTCCATAGGAGATATCTCATCGTTATCAAGCCGAGAAACAAAAAGAACCGGCGGTGGAGCTACGGAGAAGGGTTGTTCTCCGCCGGAAGGTCATCAGCTCGTGAGGTATAAGAGCCATCGTTTGTTTTCTTGCATCACAGGTCAATAATATACTTATCAATTCAAGAAAATACTAGTAAATATGAATATCTTTCGTGTTTTAGATTACAAAAAAAAAAAAGCTAAAAAGATGTGTGATATGGGTCATGTACGCATTATGGTGATGATCTTCTCATGTCGTAACGTTTACAGTGAGGGGGGTTTGTTGTGGAAATGTATATTAATGGGTCTTAAACGAGAAAAAAAAAACTTGTATGGGTCAAGTGTCCAAAAGAATCTATAATCCAAAGAAGACAATGCCGCCTTTTGTTAGTGTGTCTGTAGATAACTTCATTGTCACTCTCATTCTTCTTCCTCATCATCAGACACAACCTCACCAACACCACCACCAGTCACCAGGCATATCTAAATTTAGATAACTTTTGCATCTTAAGACTTTAATGATTCAGAACGGAGATTAACATTTATGGTAAAGAAGTTAACATGAACAATGCAATGGAAAGTTCTTGGATAGACCAAAAAAAGAGCTACAAAACACCAGTTGGTGTAACTGCAAACAACCCTAGTAGTTTCAAACGCCTGTCCAAAATACAGAAGAAATAGGAACCAAATCTAACTTTCACAGCTGATAATTTGGTAAATCTATCTCAGCTCTTCTAGAACCACCATTTGGACAAAACCTGGAAGCTCAACGCATGTTTCCCTCTCTCAAAACATCAATCATGTTGTAGATTCGCTGCTCTGCTTTCAATCGAATCTGCATTTCACCAAACAAAGTGTCATCGTTTAGAAAGAGTTGGGACAGAAAGAAAGCTGAGTTTCCATTGTGGTCCAAAAGAGTAAAGCTTAGTTTAGAACCTTTTTGGCAAGGAAGAGCACTGCATCAACAGTACCCTCAGCGTATATTGATCTGCCACAGACATTGTGCTGGAACTCAAAGGAGACACTACAACAAAAGACAGAAAAAGGAGATAGTTATGGAACATACACAGTTTTACAATGAAGATTAAATAATGTTTTAGATATTGCATTACGTTTTATCAGGTGATGTCAAATGATAGAGATGGAAAGCATGGCCAGAGACATGCTCTTCAGGAACCCCCACCATCTCAACTTGCTGTTTAGGATCCCTAATCAATTTTATCTACAACAACAAGTTGTATACACAGAACATTCATATTCAGAGATCATATCAGTTAAGTAGTTGTCGACATGTAAAGAATAAAGTACAACAAATTCACCTGATCCATGTCGTAAGACACTCCCAGTTCCTGGAAGCAAGAAATAACAGCTTTTGCTGTTCCTGATGCATCCAATTTACTAGCTTGATGAGACTCCATCACCTACATATTGGAGTTGATTAGACTAGATAGCAAGAAGCATATATAAAACTAACAAAAGTAAGAAAGGAACCTCCAAGGAGTAACCAGAAAAGGCTCCAGGAAACTGCTTAGCCATGATCTCCATGGCCGCAAGAAACGCAACAACCTAAATGAACCAACAAAGCAAATAGATATAAGCTTTAAAAGATCTTTAAAATCACAATACTTTTCTACACACACCTGTTTACCCATCTGAGGAGAAATCACAGCATAAATCTTTGCTTCTTCAACAGTTTCATACAACTTATTCCTGTCTCCACCAGTTGTTCCCATCACGAAAGGTACACCTACTTTGCTATACAGCTCCGCATTATCTACATTATTTTACAAAAATACAAAACGTTATAAAATAACTCAATCAAAGGATCAAATAAGAGTTACCAATTTACCATTGACTGCAGATGGGATTGTGTAGTCGACAACAATCAGCTCCGGGTGCTTCTCAAACACCCTAGAAAGAACCTTCTCTCTCTCTGTAGGACCATGCACAGTAATCTCTTTTCCACACACCTCAACCACTTGACCAGCCTCAGCAGCAGAACCAAACGATGTAGGAACAATGTTAACTCCTGCAGAGTCTGCCGCTTTGATTACTGCCTTCCCCATTTTGCCACTGCATCCATTCACCTGATAACAGATAATGTAATAGCTTAACCAACAACAGCAACCAACACTGCTTGAATAAAAGACACTAAATTTAACTAAACATTCCATAAGACACTTGAGATTACTACAGCATTACAGTGTTCCAACTATATAACCAACTCCAAGAACATACCTCATTGCTATTACTTGAAGAAAAGACACTACATTTAACTAAACATTCAATAAAACACTTAAGATTTTCTACAAAAGTTAAGTCACGTTACCATGATGGAAATGCCATTTCCAGGCAAAACAGGCTTCACGGCCTCCTCACCGGAACCCTCCGCCGTCGCCGTCATGGATAAAACAACCGGAAGACGACGTTTCACATTCCCCACAAAACTAACACGGCTTTTACCTAAAGTCTGATTCTTTCTAGAAGCAAATGCGAGACGAGGGTTCACTGAATGAGTAAGGAACACACTCGAAGACGCCGTGAGCCTGTGATCAAATACACGTTTATAGATTCATCTAAAAGAGTTAAAAGATTAATAGAATCGAAATGGTACCAGTTCGTCGTAGCCATATCCTATGTATCAAAGACGAAAGTTTTGTTCTTTGTTGCAGCAGACAGAAAAAAAAAACAAAGTTTTAAGTCTTTCAGTTTTGTCTGAAAATTCCGGCCGGCGTGAAATTGAGTTTTAGGGCTTCGTTAAACCGGAATTTATAAACCAAACCATTGGATTAAGTAGTTAACCGGAAGCTATTAAATAGCTTAACCGACGATAAGAACGAAACTTCCTGCCTCACTGACTCCTAACCGCAGCCAGAGAGCATCTCTAAACCAAACTGGAATCTTTAAAACAAACCACTGGATTAATAAGAAACCGGAATCTCTAAACCAAAATCATTGGATTAAGTAGAGAACCGGAAATGATTAAATAGCTAAACCGACGATAAGAACGATCCTTCCTAGCCTCACTCACTCACTCCTAACCGCAGCCAGAGACCATCTCTAAACCAAACAGAACTCTCTAAACCAAACCATTTGATTAAGTAGTTAACCGGAATCTATTAAAAAGCTTAACCGACGGTAGAGAGGTTATCTTTCTTTACCCTCACCCACTCTCACTCCTAACCGCAGCCAAAGATCATACTCAAATGAAGTCGTTAGCTTCTCCGCCGTGCCTCCACCTAACTCCGACAACACGCCGTCAACTCCACCCGCGTCATCCCTCTTGTTATTACTCTTCTGTAATCAAATCCAAAAGCCTATCATTCTCTTCATCATCCACATCAGGTATGCTTTAACCTTCTCGCACTATCTCTCAAAGCTCAATACTTTTTTTTTGCAATCCCGTGGATAAGATCTTAAGCTTTCCGCCTTAGGTTTCGCGACCCCACTCGTTGTAGAGAAAGAGCTACGCTCGTCGTTCGTGACGGAAGCTGTTCGACATCTCACTGGGTCGCTTATCAGAGGGGAAGGTCTTAGATTTGCTATTGTGAGTTTCTCTTTTCTTTAACAAAGTCTTCACCTTTTTCAGGCTTTTTTGAGTTCTGACTGATTCGTTTTTTATAAGGTTGTTGCTCGTTTCAATGAGGTTGTGACCAAGTTGCTTTTGGAAGGAGCTATTGAGACTTTCAAGAAGCATTCTGTTAGAGAAGAAGACATTGAAGTATTAAGACATCTTTGTGTCTATTCATGTTTTTACATCCATCCTTTGTGTGGAGAATATTGTGTTTCTCTGATACAGTTTATCTGTTTTTCAATTAGGTTATATGGGTTCCTGGTAGCTTTGAGATAGGTGTTGTTGCGCAGAAGCTTGGGAAATCTGGAAACTTTCATGCTGTTTTGTGTATTGGTGCTGTGGTATGACTCTTTCTTGCTTCTGAAAGTAGTTTGTTTTATGTTGTTGACGCATGTTTAGAGTTGGGTTTTGATTTACTTTTGTGTCTTTGTTGTGTGGTTAGATAAGAGGAGATACCACACATTATGATGCTGTTGCCAACTCTGCTGCTTCTGGAGTACTTTCTGCTGGCATTAATTCAGGTTTATCTCGATATTCGTTTGGGTGATATGCATTTTAGACACACGTATGTAACGTTGATTTGGACAACTGAGGAAGATTGTGTTTGTTTACATTTCCAAAACTCATAACTATTGTGTCTCAGTGTTGATGTCATCTTCTCTTGCATTTAGTTTAAGCTTTGCAGTAGCAGTAACGCTTTTGCTTTCCCAATTTTGCAGGTGTTCCATGCATATTTGGTGTGCTGACATGCGAGGACATGGATCAGGTTAGGTTTTGTTATGTGAAAGTTGATGATATGTATAGCTGATTCATCATATTGGATAAACACTGAATTATTTGAAACTCTAGGCTCTGAATCGATCTGGTGGCAAAGCTGGAAACAAGGGAGCTGAAACTGCTTTGACGGCGGTAAGTATACATCATTATGATCAATCCTTTACTCTTAGAACAAGATGTACAAGTTCCTCATAGTCCCACTAGGCAATGGCCATGTTATCACCACTCTTTTGTAAAATCCTTCAATATTCTCTCCTTTGTCTTTCTGCAGCTCGAGATGGCTTCGTTGTTTGAGCACCACCTAAAATAGCTGCTCGTTCCATGTATGAGCAATGATCACGTATGACAACTTGTTTGCTTCGTTGCATCTTAGTTACAATCCGATCTCCAAAACTGTACCTCAAAGATTGTCAATGTTTTTTTGTCTTTTACCTTTGTGTCAAATACCTAGATGCTATTGTAAGCTTTCTGTCTTTTTTTCTGAACCCTGTGTAATAATAGTTCCGCTAAATTTTTGGGGCTAGTGGGTTATTCTGTACCAATCAAAAATATGGTTTCCATTCTCATAATATCTTGAAGTTAGGTGTCAAAATGCAACTGAAGAGGCTTTGTAGCCAGCCAATAGTAACTTTACACGATGGATTTGTCGGCAAAGCTAAGATTACGCCTCAACATCTATTAGTTAATAATAGTTTCGTTCAACGAATCAGCCAAGTCCACACAACTCTTGAAAGCACTCTCTCGTCTCTCTGTTGCTCACATTCATCCAACTCTACAGGTACGTACCTTCAAATCCACTTCTTATCCTTATCTGTTCTTGCGTTGATCCTTTCTGTATTTGATCTGCAAAAACATGGAAAAAGGTAATGGTTAGATCAGGATATCGCTAGATCTGTTTAACATGTCGCTTGATCAAGTGCTATCTTGTTTAGACCGGACATTTGGAGCTGTGTTTTCCCATGTATCCACTTGATCTGATCATTACTGTAATGTTGTCGGGTTCGAGTAATAGGAATATGATGTTAGATTCACTCTTATCATGTAGTATGATTCACTCTGGATGATCGATGACATGACGTGTTATAGCCTATAACTGCTGAAACACTCTTTGGTTTGACATTTTTTTCTGTGTTGCTGTAATGATGTCACCTTTCTGCTGTAGGTATGTCTACATCTGAGAACAAAGTGGAAATCGTTGACAGAGGCAACAAGGAGGAGAACAAAGTGGAAATCGTTGACAGAGGCAACAAAGAGGAAGAGAAACAAGAAGAAGAAGGCCAAGGCGGTTTCCTCGGCAAGGTGAAAGGTTTCATTCACAACATTGGCGAGAAGATAGACGGAACCATTGGCTTCGGCAAACCAACTGCTGACGTCTCAGCCATCCACATCCCCAAGATCAACCTTGAGAGAGCAGACATTGTCGTAGACGTGCTCGTCAAGAACCCTAATCCAGTTCCCATCCCTCTCATCGATATCAACTACCTCATCGACAGTGATGGAAGAAAACTCGTCTCTGGACTCATCCCTGACGCAGGAACCATCAAGGCACATGGAGAAGAAACAGTCAAGATACCATTGACGTTGATCTATGATGACATCAACAGCACTTACAACGACATCAACCCAGGGATGATCATACCTTACAGGATCAAAGTTGATCTCATCGTCGACGTACCTGTCTTAGGGAGGCTAACATTACCCTTGGAGAAACGTGGAGAGATCCCAATACCTAAGAAGCCTGATGTTGACATAGAGAAGATTCAGTTCCAGAAGTTTTCTTTGGAAGAGACCGTGGCGATTCTCCATGTGAGGCTTGAGAACTTGAATGATTTTGACTTGGGGGTTAATGATTTGGACTGTGAGGTTTGGTTGAGTGATGTGAGTATTGGGAGAGCTGAGATATCGGATTCTGTTAAGCTTGATAAGAATGGGAGTGGGTTGATTAATGTGCCGATCACGTTTAGGCCAAAGGAGTTTGGTTCTGCGCTTTGGGATATGATTCGTGGTAAAGGGACTGGGTATACTATTAAAGGTAATGTGGATGTTGATACACCGTTTGGGGGTATGAAGCTTCCTATTATTAAGGAAGGTGGTGAGACTCGTTTGAAGAAGGAAGGGGATGATGATGATGATGAGGTTAGTATATGTTCTTCTCTTTTTACCTTATAGCTTGAAGATTGTTTTATGATTGTTTTGCTCATAGAACTATGTTTGTTCTGTTTTTTCAGGAGTAAGGAGAAGAGCTTGAGAGATTGAGTGTGTTTAAAGTGCTGAATCTCTGATGTTTAAAAATATTATCTTAAATAAAAGACTTGTATACTGTGCTTATGATGGATCAGAGTCAGACTGTTGAACAGAGCTGTCTTTGTTTTGGACTTCCTATATCATTTGGTTCGGTTCCTATTGGTTATGTATTTGTTTAAACCGGGTTTGGAATCGATGCCTTAACGGATTGAACATAAACGCAATAACCATTAATCATATGATGTTGTATCAAGATGTATTAAAAGACAAATCTCTCAAATAAATTATTAAAAGTTTTTATCACAAAAATAGATCTTAAAATTTAAAATAATCAAAATATTATTTTTTTTATTTTAAAAATTTTAATTTTATTTTATTGTATTTTTAAAAATTTGAAATCGTATTCCTAAAACTCTTCGACTCTAAACAAAAAATTAGGATTAGTTAATCTAAAAAATAAAAATATACATTTACTTATTTAAAAAAAACATTTAAATTTAGTTTAGTTATTTTTACTTTTAAGATCTATATTTTTATTTTTAGTTCTATTTTTAAAAAAAATATCTATATCAAAAGAGAAATCCGTGAAACTAATCATTTTTATAGGAAAGAATATCACTCTAGGGCAGTTTCATGTTTTCAATATCATAAATAGGCAGTTTGTGCTACCAAGGTAGTTTGTCTTAACTTTCTTAACTTTGTTCCCTAATTCTTAACCATCCAGTTAGCTAACCGTAAATACACGTTTGGTTTTAGCAGGAAATAACCTCACACATCTCTCTCTCATATTATTTCCTTTTTTTCTTTTGTCTTCTTCCTCCTTCATTCTCTACTTTTTTTTAGAAAAATTCAAATTTGATTCTAAAATTTCTTTTCTCAATTTTTTTTCGATGAAATCATTCTCTTCATTATTCGATCTATCTTTTAAGATCTGTGAAGGTATATTTCCGATGTTAGTGTACACCTTATCTAATGTACACACGTTATTTTGTGGACACTTTTTTGACATACACACGTGTACATTCAAAATGAACCAATATATGTGAATAAGTTGTGTACATAAGGTAGACTATTGATTGCTTACTAAAAAAATACAAACTACATAACAATAAGTGTACATATGATTTTGTGTGTTATTCATATCTAATGATTTTTTGCTTTGATTTGAGCTCATTTAATTTATTTTCCAATACATTTTTAGCTTTGAAATTTTGGAGGTAAAAATGAAAACAATAAAACAAGGATCACCGTGCAATTAAGAAGAAATACTGGAATCAGTAATCAAAGAGTTTGTTGGTTATTTTGTGTACACTTTGTGATATGTACACATGTACTTCGAAAATAGACCAATATATGTGAAGAAGTTGTACACAAGTAGGTGAATTGATGGTAGCTTACTAAAAAAACAAAATACATAATAAAATAAATCAAATCAAACTGAATATGGTGTACACAAGGGATGTGCATTTTGTAAAACCCTTGTAATATAAAAACATAATTTTGATGTGCAACAAGCATATTTCGAACATATGAGTACATAAATAATATATAATCCTGTACATAACCACGATTGTACACATGTACAGTCATTAATGAAGAAGATGAAATAATTACGATAATGTCATTAATGAATTAATATTAAAGTGTACACATGGCTATGATGTATATGTGTACGCGATACATAACATACACACCTAAATTGTACACAAAATAATAAAAATTCTCTTTGATGTACACGTGTGTACAATTAGTGTTCATGTGATTTTTATAAGAATCATTACTTGTACGGTGTACAAAAATACTAGTGTACATGTGATTTTCTATTGATGATATATACCAAATTTGTGTACATTAAAAACTAGTTAAAAACGTAAAGAATCAGGGAAAATATGCGATATAGGCGGAGATTAGTGTTCTGCTCGACAATGGCTAAGAAAGAAGATGAGGTTATTTTCGTAATTTTACAATATTAATGAACAAAAAGAAAAAGTTATGTGTACATTACATTCAGATTGTTCATGTGTACACCTAATTTTTTGTTATGCATCAAAATGAGTGTGTACACATTTTTGGCGTTTTTGCAGGTTTCCAATCAAAATAAGTAATCCTTTACGACTTCATGAACTCACGATAATGTTAACACAATGTACATGTGAATTTTGTTTCCTTATATACACTTTCTTATTAAAATAATGTACCATGCGGAATATCGTTACAACGGTGTACATGTGGACATCGTTAAAATTGCCAGAAATGATTATGTACATTGTTTTCTGTTTGCATCGCAGTTTCGTGTACAACTAATGATGGAGACTGAAGTTTTGGAAGTAGAAATGTGAGTAGGTGGACACATCAATGTATACATTTACGAAATACATAAACTTGTGAAGACGTACACATGTATACATGGTTATGGTACATTATTTTAATAATAAAGAGTGTACATATGTGATGATGTACACATGCAGACATATAATTGTACACATGAAAATTTTGGTTTTTGCTTTAATAATAAATAGTGTACACATATGACGAATGTACATTGTTTTAAAAATAAAGTGTACATATGTGAAGATGTACACATGTACACATATAATTGTACACATTTTTTAAAACGAGTGGCAATTTTGTAATTAAGTCATCTTCTTCCTGTTAGGGTATCCTGCATTTCTGCAACTCAACCTCCGAGCCGCCATTGATTTTTCTTCATGCAATCTTCTATTTTTTTATCTCATGAACTTAAAAATATTGTAGTCATTAATCAATTAGATCCATAAAGCAAATGAAAAACAAATTTTCTCAGAATTTTAAAGTTTTGACAGATTATAACCAAAACCCCATAGGTCTTCTTTGTCCAGCATCAACCCGCTTGGATTCGAGCATGACGATTATGACGCAAGGGTTGCGTTTATCTGAACCTGTTGCGACGAAGATGAGAGTTTATTCCAATAGCAGGGATAGGTTATAGAATAAGAGTGGAGGAAGAAGCTTGGATGCAGTGCTTGCAACTCCAAAAAAATGATAGATAGTGATGAATCACGAGAAAAATAAATTCTTCTGAAAAGAAAAAGTCAAATCTATTTTTTTTTTTATTTTTTAATTGTTAACTTAAACCAAAAGAAACTAAATAAGTAGACTCTAGTTTTCATTTGGTTAGAATAAACTGCCTCTAAAGCAATAACTGCCTTTTTATGATATAAAAACTCAACAACTGCCTTTTTATGAAATAAACTCTTTTTATAGCGCTTCTGTATATAAAAGATTCATACATTATAGCAGCAAGTGACAATTAAAGATTCATAATTATTTTTCTTAGTTACGGTTGGACCGGAAACCGGTTATTGTAAACCACTAGGCTTCTTCCCTCATGGTTTAGGAACCCGAACCCTTTCATCGTCTGTCTTCGATCAGAGGCGTAATTGGAAGCAAGCTTGTTCAAATTTTCGAGTCTGACTCCTAGGTTTGTCTCAATCTCAGTTCTAGAGATAATCACAGCTGCAGACTGTTAATATTGTTGTTTGTTTGATAGGTTGGAGCTAGAACAGAACGTGAGATCTATCGCCCAAAGATCCAACCTTTTTACACTGTTAGAGCAGGTCACTTCCAATGTCGGCCCTTGTGGCGCTATGCAGAGCTCGAGCTTCTTCTTCTTCTTCTTTGTTCAATAACATTGTTCGTCCAGCATTTCGCAGTTTCTCCACAGGTACTTTCAAGAATTCTTCTTTTGATTACTAGGCTCAGTATATGATTTCTAGTTTCTGCCTATATTTCTTATTTTATCAATGTTGAGAAATGGTTATTATTTGGAGTGCCTATTACCTAATTATATGATGCAGCGGTTTTAAAGTTTGAAACTTTCTGCTTCAACATTAATATTGTTTTTGTTATAAATTTGTCAATTAAAAAAACATTAATATTGTTTGCTAGGATTGAATCAGGCTCTTTCAGTTAGTTTTGGTAAGAGGTTGTGGGAGGAATCAGGTTGTAACAGTGAGCTGTATTTGCATAAGTACCATTGTTACAAAAGCTGGGATACTGTTATTATGAGATAATGGTCGGATTAGTAATCTGAGTATTCTATTAGGCTATGTTTACTGTTGAGATGCTATTGTGTTGGTAATATTCATTATCATTTTTAATCTCTTCAAGGGCTACATATTTCTATCTCTCCATCTCTGGTGCTAATATTGAATGTCCTAAGTCTGGTGCTAGATTCTTCTCTTCACTCTGGTTTAGCTGCCTCATAATCTTTTTGGTTTTTTATTGTTGTATCCGAAACAAGTATAGAAAACTAATGCATATATGTACTTTATGGGACTTGGGTTATGGTATTGTATGCTGCCTGTGTGGTTTTTCTATAACTAGGATTTGAGTTATGTTGAGTATATACATCTTCAATCTTGGTTAAGAAGATCATGTTCACATATTAGTAGTATATGGTAATCCAGAGTTCTCTTCTAGCTTTGTGTCAAAAACCCGTTGCTTTTGTTTTATGAAGGCTTCTAGATTTATTTTATTTTTATATTTTTGCAGGTTTTGGTGATGTGCAAAACAAAACACTTATGGCAGAAATGGAAGAAAAGATGCTCCACATGGACATCAACTCAATGATAGGAAGTTCCATGCCACTAGGCATGATGCGCATAGGAACTATCATCCACAACATCGAGATGAACCCTGGGCAAGGCGCCAAGCTAGTCCGAGCTGCAGGAACAAACGCCAAGATCCTCAAGGAGCCAGCTTCAGGAAGATGCTTGATAAAGCTTCCATCAGGGGACACCAGGTGGATCAACGCCAGATGTCGTGCTACCATTGGTACAGTCTCAAACCCGTCTCATGGAGTGAAGAAGCTGTATAAAGCAGGGCAGAGCAGGTGGCTGGGGATAAGACCCAAAGTGAGAGGTGTGGCGATGAATCCTTGTGATCATCCACATGGTGGTGGTGAAGGGAAAAGCAAGAGTAGTGGAAGCAGAGGAAGGACTTCTGTTAGCCCTTGGGGGAAACCGTGTAAAGGGGGTTACAAGTCAGCTAGTGTCAAGAAGAAGAAGAAGAGATTAGCAGCTAGAGAAGCCAAGATGTGATTCATATAAAGAGAGTGGCTATTTCTTCGAATGCATCTTTTTGAATCATTTGAGAGTTTTAAGCTTTAATAAAATCAGAAAAGAATCGTTGATCCGTTAGGGATGAAGATGTTATAAAATTATCAATGTTTTTTTTTCTTCAAAATTGAAATCAAACATTTTTTTTAATCATGGCCACGTTTTTTCCTTTTACTGGAAGATTAGATTGATATTAAACCAAACGATTCCATAAATTTAATCCGTAACGTAGGTATAATATTACATGACAATTGGAGGATTTAGAATTAAGATGGCTTTTGTAGAAGAGATAAGGAAAACCAATTTGACATTCTCCTCTGCCTCAACAACTTGTTAAAGGAGTTTTGGAAAAAGATGAAAGAGACCAATTCAAGAGTGGTATTAGAATAGTAAAGGGAGCACACAGAGTTGAGAGTAAGAAGCTTGAAAATGAGACTGTAACAAACAACAGGGCAGAGCAGCCAACATGCTTACCTTCTTATGTCCCACTCCTCCATATGTAATCATCATTTCTCTTATTTCTTTATTTATATATGTTGAAAATGATCTGAAGTAAAAAGAAAAAACATGATCAATCTGTTTTTTCCACTATCTATTAAGAGGGGTGAAGAATCATCAAGATACATGCAATGAATCCACATAACCTCACTTAGCAGATGCATGATTTTTTTTTTCTGTTACATCTTTTTAATTGCCTTTTCAGCCTGGTCACATCTTTGCCCAAACTTCATTTAAAAGCTGGAATAAATAAAATCGACAAAGTATATGTCCACTTTTGTGACTGATTGGTCTGAAAGAATGCGAGGGAGTAGTATTCTTGAACAATATGCTTTGTATTTTTGAACTAGTTAAATTTAAATTTACCATATAAAATTCATTTGACCTCTAAAACTACAAATGTAATATATAAATCTCATTCGACTAATGCAATCCGTTTATACACAAAAAGTTTTAGGCGGTTATATAATTTGTTTTCTTTTTTTTTTGTAGGAGAGTTTAAGTTTTAATCTTTTTCTAGGCCATGAACAAGTCTTTACTAATACCAGTAAATGGTGTAAAACATTTTTCACCGAAATTGAAGTTGAGCACATTAAAATCAATTCACGCGCTTTAACCTCTAGCCTAAAATAAATACACCCGATACTTAGTTATGGGATTAGTGTTTTTGTTGGGTCAATGGGATTATTGTTTTAGTACATATAGCTGTGATGAAATTTAATATGAAATTCACTCTTACAATATAATGTTATATAATATATTAGTTTTAATACATAATGATTAAAAAACAATAATTTGGGGAAAGTCGGCAAGAAAAGTGTATAAAAGGGAAAACCGAACATGTATAACGTAGAAGAACGAGACTGGAGAGTTGTACGAGGAATATTGATAAGACAAGTTGGTCGAGATATGCATTGAATCGATGGGAACGAGCCATGGAACATTGACATGTGCAGTTCCATCCACATTTATATATGCCTTTTGAGATTCATTAGATAATTATTTTATGCCGACATTTTTTTTTGTTTAATTGTTCTCTACGTGTACCATCATCAAAGATAAGTAAAGGATAGTCTTAAATTTTCGTAAAGAAATAGAATTAATCATTTACAAAAAAAACTCAAGTATGTTATGAAACTGTGGGCATATCATATAGACTCGTAACTGGAATAATAATGCGGCTATGTCTTGTGTAACTTATATAATGATTCTATAGTATTATTTGTTGAATATTGTTGCAGGTCCACAACCACTAGACATGCAATCCAAAGGAAGGGTTTGCCGTTTGCGATGTTCAAGGCAATCATGCATGGGTTGCCATCTCTACATAACTTTCCCTTTCCACGATTTATTTTATTTATAATTTCTTGAAACTGAATATAATACTAACAGAATCCACAAAACTTTTTGTACGAAAACTTTCCTGTTTTTTTCCACCCTAAGAATATGTACATATCTTTCTCGGTTTTGTCTACGAATAAAAATCTTTTTGATCTGGATAAGAGATTGTGCTCTCTGTACACAACTACGTAAATATGGTTTTTATATACATCTGAAGTACATTATATTATATTCAAATGTATGGTTGTATTTGTATCATACATCCCTCGACTATCAATGAGACTGATGATCTTTAATAAGACTCCTACCGAATATTTGCTATAATATTGTAAGTTTTCAGCAGACTAACAATCTAGAAAAAGTTGACGAATTAAAGTCGATATGAATCTGATCCTTTAATTTGTTTGTGAAAACAAAATTTTCATATATACAAGCTTAATATAATAACCACAAAACAGGTGTGGTCGATTAACATCGTTAGATAGCAATTTTCTGCCAGAGAAAATGCATTATATATACTTCAATAAGCATAATTTCTACTTACATATGTTATCTATCTATATGAATATGTTGCAATGGCATCGATCTTAACAATCGGATCAAGTACATATCCGCAATAAGTTGAATATCCTTCAGTGTCGGAAAGATATCCCTGTGATATTCTTATATCTCATAGTTCATAAGATCTTCAATATGCATGCATCATCTCCTTATCGTGGTAAAAGTTTTTTCTAAAATTTATGAATAGGACGGAAGGTCTTGTTGTAAGAAAACAATAGAGTTAACTAGAACACGATCGATGTCATTTTCTTTTCCAACAATGGCTATACGATGACTATCCTATCAGCATTCCAATGTCCTTTAGTTAGGTGTTGTTGCTATATACTACTACATGTTATTCATTGAATTTAGATAAGTATATGTATGTGTTTCGAAAAATGATAAGTATATGTATTGGTAACCTGTCAATTGGTTAATATCTTGTTCCTCATTAATCACGCAACCAAATATATCATGTACAATGCATAAGTGTTCAAATGTTACTATTAAGTTTAAGTTTGCATTGCTTTTTAACTACAATAATTTGCAAAAAAAAAAAATTGTAAAAGGGTATATGCAGAAAAACTAGAAAATAGTAACGATTTAAAAACATAGAACCCAAAGAAGAATAAACACTGGACCAACTGCCCCATTGAGAACATGATGATTTGATATATCCACCACATGAAATGCCGAAGAGAAGAATAACATTATATATGGGTCCTAATCGGTCGATAAACATAGACAACATTATTATTAAGTGGAAAATGTTATATAAATCTATATATACAGATTATTTGATATTTTTTTGTGAATTTAAATTTGTCAATTTAATTTTTAGTTTCATTACATTTAATATATTAATCATTGCTATCCCTTGAATTCACCTCTAGTGCAGATCACCAGATGAATGCAGATCTTAAGTTTGTACGTTCTTTCCGTCCACAGTTTCACTAGATTACCACCTTGAGTGATTATTAATGTAAAGTATTTATAGAACACAGATTAGTAATTATCTATCTTTAATTATTTGTCTCCAGCATTTTTAGTGGCTATTTATGCTATTATCAGATCGTCAATCAAGCCATAAATAACGCAAGAACATTTCAATAAATCTGTGCTTAACATTCATATACCAGCCATTATATTTTGTTAAATCTTATAGATAATAGGAAGACTAAATAAAACCTACAACTCATTAAGGAAAAAAACACGACTGTTTTTTTTTGGTCAACTAAATAACAATGTTAAATTTTTAGATTCGTTTAATTAAAACACCATTGAATATTCCTAATACAAATCTAAATAAACTGAAATTCCAAGAGGCTTTCCACATATGAATTCCAGCTTACGTCATCTTCTACTTTAAGGAAGAGAGAAGTGTCAAGGGGAGAAGAACCAACTGTGACAGTCGAGAGAGAGATAGCAGAATCAGCAACTTGTCACACTTGTCAACCCAAAAAGAAATTAAAAAATTAAATTAAGAAAAAAAGTTGAGTCCTATTTAAACATTATTATTGCTAAAAAAAATATCTGTAAATTCACTGAACCTTCCTCTCTTTCCTGTTTCTTCTCTGATTCTACCGTCCAACACCAAATATTTATTTATTTTTATTTGCTACTTGTGTTCTTCATTTTTATACCCGTTACCAGTTTATCATATCAAATCACACCCACTTTCTTTCTTCTTCTGTACTTTCATTACAAAGAAAGGTTTCTTTAAGCTTTCAGCTTAAGCCCACCTTTAAGTTTCTATATAACTTCATCATCATCTTCTTCTTCTTCTCTCTGAAGTAGTCTAGCTAGTTCCACCAAATTAGAGTTCTTCAACAAAGCTACATTGTAAACATTTTTAGATGATTCGTGAAATCTCCGGTCTACGAAACGACAACGTAAACATTCAAGACCATACTTCAAACAACATCAGCAACAGAAACATCATGGACAAGAGAAGGGATAACCGAAACGACATGACTCAAGCTCAGATGATGAGTAAGCAAGAATATTTTCGGACATTGTCATCTCAGAATAGTCAGAGGAAGCTAATAACATCGAGTTACTTCAGTTTGGAGTCAATGGTTGTTCTTGTGGGTCTCACGGCATCGCTTTTGTTCCTTCCATTGATTCTTCCACCGTTGCCTCCTCCTCCCTTCATGCTCCTTCTGATTCCTATTGTGATTATGGTTTTGCTTATGGTTCTTGCTTTAATGCCTTCTTCTTCTAATGCCAAACATGTAACAAGTACTAATTACATGTAACACGCTCAAAAGTTTTGTTGTTTTGTCTATTGTTAATTTGTCATTACCAAAAGGGTTTCAAGGTTAAGAGATTTTGTATACCTTTCATTTGTTAAACTTCTTATCTCATGCAGTAGTACTATATAATTTCATGATTATATCTATAATGGTTTTACCAGACATGGTAGACCAGTTTGTTTAAATGTAGGTATTGGTGTTGTTGCCTGTCTCTGAACCAATGAAAGATAAGGCCCAAAGCCCAAACTATTTTTAATTAAGAAAAAAAGATGGGAACTGAAGGATTTCATATACTTTTTGATATACATTCAAAGATCATAGGAGACTAAAAGTCAGAGACAGAAGCAAGACTGTATATTTTTATAGTTGAAACACTAGGAAGTATCATCTCTCATTGTTTATGCAAGAGACACAAAGAGACTTGACAAAGAGGTTCTCATGGTAAGTTGATTTGTACAAAGCACCTTTCATCATCTCAAAACCAGGATCAGATTGTTCCAAAATTGTAGAATTGTCTTTTTAGTACTTATTTTATTCAACTATTTAAAATAAATGGGTGAGGAGGCTAGACCCGAATAACTTGGATGCAGGATCTATTGTGGTTCTGTGTGAAGAAGCTATGACACAAAAAAAAATAGGAAGGTGATGCTCCAATACTGCCATGAGCTTGTGACATTTGTATACTTCTGTGTCCACATCCAAGAGCTGTCCCCTTGATCTCCAGCTTTCACACTCTCTACTCTCTGTCCAGTGTCATGTAAGCAAATTGCAACTCTCAATGGAGCTGGGAGATTCTTTAAGCGTATAACATACTGGCCAATCTCCAAAACCCTCATGAAGTTTTCTTGGCTTTCACTCAATCCCCAAATCTCTGACCAACCAATGTTCTTGGAGAAACGATTTCAGTTCTGACGGAACTGACTCGTCTTCTTAAGTCCACCGAGTGGTGTCTTCAACTGGAATGGCCGGAGGAAGTTGTTGGCTTCTGAGGGTCCAACGGTCATGATCTCGTGGATCAGATCCTCCACACAGATGATATCGTGCTTGCCTAGACCTGATTCAGCCACTATCGAGTTGTCTGTAAGTGCTATCCTCTGATGGTTCAGCTTTCCATAACCCCTCTTGTATATCAGCTCCCTAACTCACAAACAAAGAAACAACATACCCACGGATACGAATGATAAAGAGAAGCTTTGCCTCATTGTCAACGAAGAACAAAGTGCAAACCTTTCAACACAACAGTAGGGATGTCAAATGGGCGAGTTGTCCATGGACGGCCATTTCCAAATTGTTATGGGCTAATATAGACATTTTTATATTAGACTAAATTTAAATGGATTTATATAGGCGAAGTCCAATTGCATCCATGGATAAAACTGAGTTTGACCATCTGAACATTGGGCGTCTAAATATCTAAAATATCTAGGTTTTAGAAATTAGGAAAAAATTACAAGTTTATTTTATCTTACTAAAAATCACTAAATCGATTTTTTTTTTTTTAAAAAAAAAATCGCAAAATTGTGTATCTTACCAAAATCGTAAGATTGCTTTTTCCCGCCCAATCTGCAAAATTATATTTTTCTACAAATCACGTTTTTGGCTAAAACCACAAAATCGTGTTTTTCTGCCAAAACCGCAAAATCACGTTTTCCACCAATACTACAAAATCACGTTTTTTTCACCAAAATTGAAATTCGTGTTTTCCTGCCAAAACGAAAAAATCAAATTTCCTCACAAATCATGTTTTCCACCAAAATCACAAAATCACATTTTCTGTCAAAATCACAAAATCATATTTTTCATCAAATTGTAAAATCATATTTTTCGTAAAAATTGCAAAATCACATTTTTCACAAATCATATTTTCCGTCAAAACCAAAAAATCACATTTTTCTGTCAAAACCACAAAATCATATTTTTCATCAAATTGTAAAATCATGTTTTTCGTCAAAACTGCAAAATCACATTTTTCGTCAAAATCACGCTTTCTTGAAAACAAATCGTATTTTCTCATTAAAACTATAAAATCAAATTTTCATGCCAAAATTGTAACATTAAGGTTTCTCACTAAAACTACAAAATATAATTTCTCGTTGAAACAAGAAAAAATGTATTTTCTATCGAAACCGTAAAATCGAGTTTTTTCGCAAAAAAAAAAGACAAACTGCAAATAATAAAATCTTAATTCTATATTATATACGAAATTTAAAATATTTATATCTTTTACAGTAAAATTAGATATTTACACTAAGTGGGGATTTGAGTCTCATGGACAACCCAGTTAAACATGGTTCTATTTGGATATGGTTCTATTTGGATATATTCTATTTAAGTGTTGCCAAAATAAGTCCAAAAAATCTCCAACTCACAAACAAGCCATTTTAATCTTCAACTTTTAGTCAAACACGAATAAATCTCATACTTTCGTTGACTAAACCATTTTAATCTCGTCAAAATTCAACCGTTTAGTTCTGTTAGTTATATTTAACGGTTGACTTTTAATGAGCCTAAATTGGCTTGGTCAACGAAAGTATGAGATTTTTTCTAACTTAATTTAAAAATTGAAGATTAAAATTGCTTAATTAAAAATATCTTAACTAAAATTTATTTTTTTAACTGACAGAAAGAATTGAATTTTTCATATCGATTGTAATCACTAACTTAAAAATATATGTTCAAATAAGTTTAGATATAGTATTTAAAAATGAATTAAAACAAATTATACACATCAGCTGCTGGAAATCCCTTTCACGCACTTGAGTTCCTCTTTTTCACTTGTTTCATCCTCTATTGAGTATATGCGATTATAATTTTTAACAATAATGTATTTAGGGTTTTACCTTTAACTTTTATGTTTTTATTCTTAATTTTTTTTAATATAAGCACTTAATTATTTTATTTTATATCTGGATTTACAGTATAATTATATTTTTAGTCAAATTTTTTTACTAAACAATTTTTTGTTTTTAATATATTTAAAAATATTATAACTAAGCTTATTTGAACATATTTTATTAAGTTTGTCATTCTAATCGATATGATAAACTAAAAATTTTGTTGAAAAAAATAAAACAAAAATAGCAATTTTTAGGTAAGATAAGTGTACAATTTTAATCTTCAGCTTTAAAATTAAAATAAAAAAATCTCATACTTTCGTTGACCAAGCCATTTTAGGCTCATTAAAAGTCAATTGTTAAATATAACTAACGAAACTAAACGGTTGAATTTGACGAGATTAAAATGGCTTGGTCAACGAAAATATGAGATTTATTCGTGTTTGACTAGAAATTGAAGGTTAAAATGACATATTTGTGAGTTGAAGATTTTTTTGACTTATTTTTGAAAGTTGAAGGTTATTTTGTCAATTTTCCCATATTATTTTGCCATCTCCGACACGACATATCTTTTCTTCTTGCAAGGATAGATTCTTGGAGCCTCGATCACGCACTTCCGGAAAGAAATGAAGCTGCATCGTCAATTGCTGTTAGTGTCACCCGAGATATGCGCCCCCAATCATACATCGCCCGAGATGCACCGGTATGGCTGCAGCATTTACTCACTTTGGAAGCTCAACAATAATGGTAGTTGGTGAGATTTTTTTCCTTTTCCTTTGCCTGTGCGGTGTCTATTGACATCTTACTTTTGCTTTTTATTTCTTTCTTTGTATCACAACGATTATTTCTATATGTACAAGTGTTAAAAAAAAAAATTTACGAAATTTAAAATATTTATATCTTTTACAGTAAAATTAGATATTTACACTAAATGGGGATTTGAGTCTCATGGAGAACCCAGTTAAACATGTCCTATTTAGATATGGTTCTATTTGAATATATTCTATTTAAGTGTTGCCAAAATCATCCAACAAAAAAAAATGCCCATCTGAATACACCCAAATAAGTCCAACCTGCCCATTTGACACCCCCACACAACAAGAACAAAGAAGAGTCATCTTAGGCAGCTAAGGAGACATAAAGTACATTTCATTAACCTTTGTGGCGTATTCTTTGGCATATTGCTCAGCTCTCTTGAAGATAAGCTTGCGGGTCTCAACGCCTCTTCTTTTTAGCAGCTTCAGCTTCTTGTTTCTTACCCAATGCCCTTTCATCTTTCCTCTTGATCTTCTTTAGCACAGACTCTGGAACCACCACCTTGGAATCAGACATTTCTCATACAATCAGTTCTACAACTTAAAAATAAGCTCACCAATTAAAACTATAAACAAAAAAGCCACCACCTTTAAGCAAATGCAGTGATCTGAGAGATGAAACTGAACAGAGTTTTTAATCAGGGAGAAACAGAGCAGGAACATGTATCAAATGACTAATACTAAACACTATGACACAAAGGGTGTGAATGCAATGGAGATTCGAAGTTAGGGTATGAGAGGAAAGAGCAAACCTGATAGAGAGAGGGAGAGGTTGCGTGGCTCAGAAGGAAGAAGAAAACACAAAATGTGTTTCATAACCCTCTTTTTTCTTAATTGGGCTTGACATTAAGAGGCTTATTTTATCTCATTTCATTTGGGCTAATGCGCTCGAGCTTGATTGAGACACCAGTCTGAGTGATCAATTTATAAAATGTTTTACAATCTTAATTTTAGGATAGAATTAACCCCGGTCTCTTAGTCATTCTTAACTCATAACTAGATTTTGACCCGCGCAACCGCGCGGATATTTGTTTTCGTTTATAGTTAGTTATATTTATTTGTTTTCACTTGTAAATTGGTATATATTATAGTAACCACATATTTACGATATGTATGGTAAATGTTTTTCAAACATAATAATATTATATATAAGTGTTTTAATAAAATAGATTGTTTCAAATTTTATATATTATACATGTTTTCCAAACATGTGTTTGTTTCTTCTTCTATATTTTATTGTTTGTTAGATTAGTATTTCGTTTTTAGATAAAGTAATATAAATAGAGCTTGATTAAATATTTGTATACTTTAATTTGCAAAGATAATATAAACTTCTAAGAAATTTTGGCTAAAAACTAAACTTATAGCTTCATAAATTAATATTATAAAGAATTTTATTAACAACGAATTTTTTAAATAATTTATTTTTTTAAGCAATATAATTTTAAAATTTTACATCGAAATAAATTTATCTAATATATGTAGCGTGTAAATTTTATTAGGGTATATAAATATTCCATATTATTAATCTGTAATTTTGTTAATATATTGTGGATGCATTTAACTATTATTATCATATTTCCTTATAAATAATAGAAGATTCATAAACTTATATTTATTGACATATTTTGCATAACTAAGTTGGAAGGTGTGGGGTAATTTACCAAAATCAAATTGCTAAACGTATATTTTTTATTATAGATATGATTTTTCAGAAGATATAATAATGATAAGATTATTAGAGAGTTAATGTAACATAACTTTTTAGTAATAGTCCATTTTTTAAAATATCACACATGAAGTCAAGTTATGACTTCTGTTTTGATATATAAGATTTAATATTTTTTTTATTTTTTATATTTTTTGTGAAAAAACAGTTTTTATATTTTTATTTAAGAGACAGTTCTTAATTTTTCTGAATCGGAGTTAAGAACTTCAGTTAATAGACTAAATTTAATCATAGTCTTGAAATAAGTTCAAAACAATAGTTTAAAAGACTTATTTGCCAAATAGCAAAAAAATACAGAAAATTAGTTTTCTAGTAAAAAATAGAGAGAGATAGAAAGAGAAATGAAAAGAGAAGGAAAAATTTTTAACTAATAATATTTTTATGGTTATCTCACTTAATTTTTAATTTAAACATTCAAAGCAAGAATTTAAACATTTAACATTAATCCTCAGTGACAGTTAAAACTTACAACTTACACATACATCCTCATCTTCTAGAAGAAAAGAGAGAAGAAACTTTAGTAATGTGAAGCAAGAGAGACGTTTAGAAGATAAGTGCTTGCCAGTTTCGGACCACTTCTTTTCTTCTCCATAATGAAGACAACTCCTCCCAAGGACAAATAAATATCAATCCTCTTCTAGAACCCTTATCCTATTCTTCTCTTTTAAGCATTACTTTATTTCACTTTCATTTTCAAATACCAATATGTGTCATGAAATAACTATAAACCAATCCACTTTATCGCACTCTTAAATCAATCAACCTTCATTGAAGAAATAAATCCTCTTCGGTTACATGGTTATTTCAAAGTTTTTCAATATACATCCATTTAAAGAAACATAAAACAAAAAGGTAAATATAGTTTAGTCATTGTTGTCAAAAACAAAAAGACGAAAAAACAAAAACAAAAAGCGAAAAGATAAAATAAACGCCGTTCAAATATGAAATCATAAAGGTTTATGTCTCCCTTGTTTTTTTGACGAACTATCGCCGAGATTAATTTCTAGGCTGATTATATATATATATATATATATGCAGTAGAGAGAGATATTTTCACTCCACAATAATTATAAGGATGCTTGAAAATATAGAATACTATATATGAAATAATAATAATAGAGAGGAATAGTTGACCAAAGAAAAGAAGAAGAACACGACAATAATGTAAAGGCAAAATGCGATAAAGAGAACTTGTTAAGCCTCTATCAATATCCAACCTCATTAGTATTTCACTTTCCCATACTCATCCACTTATTTCATTTTTTTGGCCATGTTCAATAAGGTCTACTTTGTGCTAAAAGCTATACTAATCTACATTTCTCTTGAGAAAATCGCATATAATAAGATCTATTCAGGAACATCTTTTCTAATTAAGTCTACTTTGAACCTAAACGAAAACGTTGATAAAAAAAAAATGATTCGCGTGCATCATGCATGTATACAAGACATTATTGTACGCCAGTTGGCAGGATAATCTTGATTTAGATACAAGGTTTTTGTATTATACCAAATGAATTTAATAAGTTACCTATTTCTGCTGTATACAACAAGTTTGCTAGTGACTAGTCGAGAGGAGAAATGACTTGTGTGAGGCTGTAAGTCCGCGACCGCGAGACGTACCTTTACGTAGGTGCATCGCACAGTCTACGTGTTATTGTATTAAGATGTGTCGGGTAAGAGTGGAGATAAAGTCCAATATATTCATGAGGCCTTCTAGAAGACTATAAAATATAATCTCTTCTCGGTTTTATGTACTATATTGTATATATGTTTCATTCCAATAAAATTATTAAATGTTTTTTCCGTCTTCCAAATGTAACTTCCCTCACAAACATTGTATTTATAAATTAATAGGTATACAAACACCAGGTGATATCTTGAGACTTTAACAATTAAGCATAACTCACAACAGTTTTGCCTGAAAAATAATATATGTGGACTATTCTTGGAAGAACTTGTTTGATACTTATCGCTTGACGGTTGCGTGAGTGAGTGCGACTCACTTCTCATTGCTATCCATACTACTATCATTCGTCTTTGTAAAAGCTTCTAGAAGCTTACTGGCTTTCTTTAATTCAAATTAAACATTTTTATTAAAGCAAACATGATGGTAACAAGCTCACTGGTCTTCGTGAACTTTATCAAGAATAGGGGTTACAGATTACAATTTTTTATAGACTTGTCTTCTTCTTTTTTGTCCAAAGAAAGACTATTCTTTTCAAAGGAAATAGTGTCCACGGAAGCGGAATCTTGGGTTACGATGAAAGGGAATATAGACTACTTATTATAGTAAATCTAGTTGATAAACTAATTAAAGCTCTTAGCTCAAGCTATCTCTATACTTAAGTGTGGTAAAAGCGTAAAGCATATAGTGCGGTCAGTATCAATTGATGAACTTACCTAACTTCACTTAACCCTAAAAAGTTACCTAGGTTACAACAGCTGCTATTTTATAATATATGAATATGCGAATAAAAATGTATCTGAGAATAGATCTTGAGTCCCTGAATTAATTCAACTTTCTTGAAAGTGGAGTAGTTGCTCTAATTGACGTGTTAACTGTCTTAATAAAGATTCCAGAAGCTTGCTGGTTTTCACGTAATTATATTTTTTTTCTTCTAAAAGACATCACCGTCTGCATGAGCTACATCAGAGCTTACATAACATTATATTTCCAAATTTATTCCTGATAAAGGAAATTGCATCAGGATAACGAACCGCATGAGTGAAGTTAAAGGGAATGACTTATACACGTTACATGAGATGAGAAGCTGATTTTAAAAATCAAACTAGCTAGTTTAGATACATTTTCAATATAGTCGAAGGTACACAAGCTTGAGTTATGCACACAACTGTGGCGTACTTATAACAATTGAAATTAATATTTATAACTAATAGCCATTTCACTATTGTAACAGCAAAAAAAAAAAGTTATTCGATCCAGCGTTTAATGGTTAAATTAGTTTTTTGAGAAGATGTCTTTGTATTTCTTTCTGTTAGTTTTATAAAAACGTGATTTGAGCATATGTAGTTCCTTCCCTATATAAAGGCTCTGCCACCTTGCTTAACTTCAAAGTAAATCACATTTCCTTAAGTTGTTTGTGTATCTTCTTCTTCAGACACACAGTTAAACTCAATTTAGTTCAATCAAACTCTATCCACTCTTTCAGAAGCTTCTTTGACCAGTACCACATGATCATGGACATGTCGAGAAACAAATCTAGAGAAGTTCCAAAAGATTTGATTCCCGGTTTACCGTCCGATTTAGCAACGGAGTGTTTGATCAGAGTCCCGCACCAGTTTCAACCCGACATGAAGTCCGTTTGCCGTTCTTGGAGAAGCTTACTCTCCGACTCTTCGTTCATCAAAGAGCGGAGGAGATGCGGCAAAGCAGAGCTTCTCCTCTGCCTCGTCCAACCGCTTTCACCGCCAAAACCAGCGTCTAAAGCGGTTGGAGACACAGATACACAGCTAGTAATGAACGAGAAGATCGAGAAGCGCGTTTCCATCACGCCACGTTTTTGTTTGAGCGTCTACAACGCTACAACAGCCACGTGGAACCGCGTCGCGTTTCCTCAGCTACAGATCCCTCTTTTCTGCGAGTGCGTCGCGGTTCAAGACGCGGGGAAGATTCTACTCATCGGCGGGTGGGATCCGGAGACGTTACAGCCGGTGAAAGACGTTTACGTTCTTGACGTAAGCTCAAGGAGATGGAGACGAGGAGCGTCGATGAAGGAGTCACGCTCCTTCTTCTCATGCGCTACCGTCGGTTCAACGCAAGTGTACGTCGCGGGAGGTCACGACGAGCAAAAGAACGCGTTACCATCAGCAGAGGTGTATGACGTGGAGAAAGACGAGTGGTCAACGCTTCCATCGATGGATGAAGGAAGAGACGAATGTCAAGGCTTCTCAATGGGGACGGGGCTAGGATTCTGCGTTTTGAGCGGTTACGCAACGGAGTCTCAAGGGAGGTTCAAACAGGACGGAGAAGTTTATAATACGATTACAAAGTCATGGTCAAGGATAGAAAACGTGTGGCCGTTTCCGGATACTAGTCCTAGAGGCCGAACCGTTGTAGACACTAGAGGCTCCTCTAGGTTATTTTGTTTTACAGACCGTGAGTTACAGAGCGAACGTCAATGGGAAAGTAGAGACGGTTCGAGAAAATGGAAACTGGATGTTGAAGTAATGCAGCTTCCAACGAGTGGAAGTTCAATTTATGTCGGAGGCTCTGGAGGTGAACCGGTTGTAATGATTGGCGGTGAAGGAGTGATGATGAAGAGAAAGACTGAGAAGAATGTCGGGAAGTGGAGTCATGTCCATGACATACCTTTTGGTTTTTCAACACTTCCATTCTCACATAGTTCAATCTATGTCTGAAAATCTGATATATAGATTAGCGGCATAATTTTGTCTCATCATATGAAAAACTTGGAAGATCATTTCAAGAGTATTTTAATGTAGTAACATATACTACTAGAGCTAGCTTCACATCAAAGGTTATTTTACCTTTTTGGATCATATGGAGAATATAGAAACCTGGTTGCAATCTCATTTTTAAGACACAATGATGATGTATCCCAAAACAAGTGGTTCATGATACTAGAACTAACGTGGTTGAATTGATAGATACGATTCACACCTTAAAAAAGATTACTTATTCCAAGATGATAACTACAAATGCAACTTTGATGCAAGTTTCGACTATAAAACAACTAATGTGAACAAACTCGAATCAATCTCCACCAAAGCAATAAAACTTAGAGAAATTCAAATGAGGCAAATGCCTATTTTCAAAGTTTGTATATTATCATGTGAATGAGTAATTTACAACTCACTAAACTTGTATTTGTGCAGCTTCATAAATCCAGTATTCATTTTTCATTTAGAAAAAAAAAACTTCATTCTCTACTAAAAACGGTGTATCTAATATGTAAAGATATACAGTACCGAATGTGTCCCTTTAGAAAAACATCATCCGGCCCAACGAATGTATCCTTTAGTGCATCAAGATTGAAATCATCCAGATTCAATAACAGAAAAGCAAAAGTAGATTGGATATTGAAAAACGACAGAGGCTTCCCTGTACTCTGGAGTTCAGAGGACAATGGTATAGTTTCATCACCACACTGAAGCAAGATCACTGATTCACTGCAACATGTTATGGAAACATAAGAGATCATGGATTAAAAACTATGTGTTTTTTTAGAGTGGCTCAAAAATTTCTGATCGATGTCATCAATGACAAGGCGAAAGATGACAATATCAAGAACATATGCATTGATGGATATCTATGTTGGTCCTAATTTGTCTTTAAATCTATATTACTCTAGTGCATCTTCATTATACTTACCATGGTAGTTGTTTAGTCTAATGCTTTCTATTATAATTTTGTAAATTCTTTCTAATATACAAAAATAATAATTTGCCGTAAAAAGTAGATTAGCAGCATAAAAATGTGATTACGCCGACCAAATGACATACACGATATAACGCAACAATATTACTACTATTTGAGTTGGGCTTGTTCAAAAGCCCATCATAGCCCGAGACGAGCTGATCAGCAACAGTCGCGTTTCTGAATTATTGAAGTTTACATTTGTTAGACCATGTGCAACGGTGCATCTTAGTGAATCCTTAGGACAAAATCTTGTCAGATTAGAATAAAATAATAATAAAAAGCTACGTTACCCGTGAAAATAATCCTTAACTAAGGATTTGTGAGCGGTTAATCCTTGGTGAGCTGGCGACTTTGTATTGGTGCGGGTTGGTGATGAGTTTGGTGAGGCAAGGAATTGGCGACATCCTCTGCTCATGAGTTCATCTTCCGATCCAAACTTCCCGATATCTCCATCCCTAATCATCTTCTTCTCACCGATTACGTCTTCCAAAAGTTCTTCCGCGACGGTGACGGAGACTCCACAGTCACATGTCTCATCGACGGCGACGGATCCGCCAACGTGATACCGTCATGCTCCTTCTCCCTAACTCGCCGGAGTTTGCTCTCTGTTTCCTCGCCGTCGCTTACCTCGGAGCCGTATCCACCACCGCGGATCCGTTCTATACAAAGTCAGAGATTGAGAAACAAGCAAAAGCCTCCGCCACGAAGATGATCATCACGAAGTCATTGATCTTACCAAAGTAGGAAACTTTAGCTTACTGAATCAGGCAATTGACTATTAGATCATTTGTTTGCAGATACGATTGATTATATCACATTACGTAATTAATGTCTTTACTCTTGACATCTATATGTTTGTGAACATCTACATCTTATTTATGTTGAAAGAGAGGGAAGAGGTAGAGAAGCTGAGGAACATGACGGAGCAGGAGAGGAGAGAGTGGGAGAGGAAGAATCCTAAACCTTCGTTGACTCAACCGAAGAAGAAATGGAATTTCATGCAGAAGTATTATCATAAGGGTGCTTTCTTCCAAGCGGATCCTGATGATGAGGCGGGATCTGTGGGGACTGATGGTATATTTCAACGTGACTTCTCTGAACCAACGGGTGAAGATAGGTTGGATAAATCGATTTTGCCTAAAGTTATGCAAGTCAAGCACTTTGGTCGTAGTGGGAGAACTAAATGGACTCACCTTGTTAATGAGGATACAACAGATTGGAGTAATCCGTAAGTCTTTTACTTTTCTTACATTTTGGTTAGTCATAGGCTTATGGAAGCTGACTTATTGAGCATTTGAGTAGAAACATTAAGCTGAGAATTGAACTGAGTTATGTTAGGAGCAATAATGTGTCTCTTTGTGTACTATTATGGTTAGTCATAGGCTTCTGAAGACTGACTTAATTAAGGTTTGAGTAGAAACATTAAGCTGAGAACTGAAACAGCATCAAGATATGATCGAGTTTAAGCCAAAACTGAAACAAAGTGGTATGTTTTAGTAAAAAAAAAAAGCATGTTGCTCTGTTATATCAAAGAAATTATAAAAATCGAAGTAATTAATTAATTTATGCTGTGTATCAGAGCAATCAAGATAACAAACATTTTATGTTTCTGCTTGTATCTTTTCTTATTTTCATTATATAACATTCTGTGTGAATCCAGCTCATAGACTTTCGTTAATGCTTTATTGGTATCCAAGAAAGTTTGATGAAGCTATAGATTATCTCACTAAAGCCATCATGTTAAACCCCACTTCTGCAATTCTCTATGCTACTAGAGGTGAGTTTTTTTAATCACTTTCTCTCCCTTTTCGACCAATGGTGGGTGATATTCTGAATGTTTGGTAGTTGTTGTTCCTCCTCACTCCTCAGCTACTGTGTTTCTAACTGTCAAGAAGCCAAATGCTGCTATCTGTGATGCGGACATGGCTTTACATGTGAGCATTTACTTGAGTCGCTTAAACTTGTTTAGTTTGTGCAAATGATGAATACGGAAAGCAAGTTTATGTCTTAGTAGTTTAGTGGCTTTGATAAAGTTATTTAGTATCTCCATGGTTGTTCTTTCATAACTAGCTGAATCAGTTTACTTTGGTGTTTCCATTATTTCTCTTCTACAAATAAAATTTTTAATTTCTAATGTTTTATAAATTTATTATTTTTTACTCCTAAGGATTCTATTATGGATAACACCATTGGATTTGTATTTTCATAAAAACTCTTAACTATTCAAAAAGCAACCAAATACCAAAAAAAATATATTATAAAATGCTTAAGGATTCCAATGGTGTAACTCACCATTGGACATGCTCTTAGACCATGTAATCAACAAAGTTACCGTTTTAACCTTTATCCTTAACGTTGTCTACTTCTTCGTTAAAAGTCTTCAACAACAACAACACCACCAACCACATTTTACGTAACCAGGGTTTCTTTTGCAATAACAGGAAGACGCAGACATCGAACTTTCGTTGTACTTGTGTTTTTCCTTGATTCTCTGGCTATGCCTGCCTCGAAGAAGGTTCGTTCGGGAAAACAAATCTCCTCTTACTCTAACTATACTTGTCTGAAATTTCCGGGGTGTTTTTTCTTAGGTTTGCGACAGGAACCCCATAGCACAAGTGTTCGACAAGTTGTTGAATGACATTGGAAGGGCAGAGGAGGTTCGTTAGGGAAAACAAATCTCCTTTTACTCTAACTATACTTGTCTGAAATTTTCGGGATGTTTTTCTCAGGTTTCCGACAAGAACCCCATAGGACAAGTTTTCAACAAGTTGTCGAAGGACATTGGAAGGGCAGAGGAGTTTTCGTTGCCGGATTGGTCGAACCAAGGGAAATCAACTCCTTACACCTACATCAAGCGCAGTATCCTTTTTACTCAATTTTATTAGAGCCAACATAAAGCCCAAGATATTCTAGCATAGTAAATATAAAATATGAAATTTTGGTTGGAGATTTCACGTGTTATTGCCTTAGATAACTAAAAAGATATATACTTGACGGATAAAATCAAAAAGAGGGTTGAAGATGATGGAATATTCTGTACTTGTGCCTTGTCCCATGCTCTTCTTCAGTTGTGTGTGGGAGTGATTGTGATTGTGGGTATGTAATTTACTTTATTGAACTATCTAAAGAGCACTTACACCATGATTAAGTACATTCAACTTGGAAAAATATTCAATCTTTGTGTAGGATGTTATTCTCAAGCTGTTCATCCAGTTGCAATTGTGGGAGTGATTGTTACAATAAGCCGTTCCAACAACGGCGTGTGAAGAAGTTGAAGTTAACTCTGGTAAATGAATGAATAGTTTCTGATATGAACTTTTGTTCACTTAAGAAATTTCAAAAGATTTAGGACTAGCTTTTTCTCAATCTTAATTAAGTTCTCTTTGAGATTAAGGATAATTGTTAGAAGTTCGTTTCCTTTTAATCAATATAGAAACCGTCTTGTACAGCTTAATCAAAATCCTAATGCAAAAAGAAGAGAGAAAAATCTAATTAACATAGAATATAAGTTAAGAAAACCTAATTAATAAAATGAAACACTAATATCATTGAATAAAATACCCTAACTTGTTATGTAACAGTCCTAGTATTAATTAGGTTTGTCTTCAGTTGTTGGTTTTTATATTAGTTTGTTTCTTGTAGACAGAAAAATGTGGATCAGGGATTGTAGCAGACGAATACATCCAAGAAGGAGAGTTTATCACTGAATATGTAGGAGAAGGTGATGATGTGATACTGTTTGATTTGTTTGCCTCTCTGTTGAATATATTACAACCTGTTTGCTGAAATTGAGTTTTTTATTTTTGTTTTGTGAACGCTGAAATTGTGTTTTTTTTTTTCTCTCAAATATTTGTCTCATTGTAGTCATAGATGATGTGACTTGTGAAGAAAGGCTATGGGAGATGAAACGCCGCGGAGAAACGAATTTCTATCTGTGTGAGATAAGCAAAAATATGGTGATTGACGGCACTAATAAGGGAAATAAATCGAGATATATCAATCATAGCTGCAACCCTAATACGCAGATACAGAAATGGTTTGTTTCTTGTCACCTTTATTGCTTATGCGCTTTTGGTCGAGCAAAGTTATCATTTGGTCATGTTTTGCTTTGCTATCAGGATAATTGAGGGTGAGACAAGAATCGGCATTTTTGCCATCTCTGACATAAACAAAGGAGAGCATATAACTTACGACTATCAGTAAGATGATTTTCTCTCATCCTAGTTTGCATTACAAAACACATATCTGAGTTTATGATTATCCCCATGTTTCATTGCTTATGCTTCCTTTAGTATCATTTCGTGTAAGTCTATAATCTGTTGAGTGGTAACACTAATGAAATAGAGCAGGTTTGTTCAGTTTGGTCCAGATCAAGAATGCCATTGTGGAGCGATAGGTTGCAGAAAGAAACTTGGGGTGAAACCAAAAAAACCTGAATTAGTCTCGGATGAAGAAACTCCTAACTTCGTGATATCTGAATTGGCTCAGACACTGCCCCAGGTATTTTGAATATTTATCTGAAAAGAAGATTCAAATATAGATCTTCTTTTTGCCATGGCGCCATATCTTCACATTCACTAAGATTTTGTGTGCTATGAGTTGTAGAGACTTATGTTTTTCCCCACTTTTGGTTAGGTTCATCATAATGAAGATATACATGAAGAAGGTAAGTCTGGATTCTTGTTTCTACTCTATTTGCTAGAGAAGCTTAGTTTTTTTTTTGGGGTTTGTAAGAAAAAAGCAATTTGGATTCCCTCGTATCTCCAGGAACATTAATTAGGAACAAGCTTAGTGAAGAGCAAACATGTCCTCGTAATTGCATTGGTGTAGTGATCAGGTTATCTCGTCCCACCAGCATTAGGTATATATGTATTTTCTTTTGGACTCTTGGATAAGTTTTCTGGCTCATTCCATTACTTTTCTCTAACGTGACATAGAGATTTTCAGGTGTTTTGGCCTCATTAGACGTTTTGATGAGGTTACAAGAAAGCACTCGGTATTACTTATTCTCACCTTCTAATTAACTTGGGAATATCATTCTTACTACAAAACCTATGTTAACATTTTGTAAATTGGTTCAGGTGATGTTTGAGGATGGTGTTACTGAGTTTATCGACTTGTCGAAAGAAGAAGACTGGGATATTTTATCTGACTAATATTGCTTTTCAGGTGATTTAAAACTCGTTGGTTGATTTCACTCTATTAATGAAGCATAGACTTATTAAGTATTAATCCTTGCAGTTATGTTTCTGCAGATATCTTTGGAAACAATAGTTGAGAAGGACGAATAAATCTGTCTTGGTGATTAGTGCAATGACATCGTTGTTGCATGTAACTTGACCTGTGTTGGACCATGATATAATGTTTGTAAGGTTTCTACCTGGAACCATATTTGTAATTCTTCTCATTTCTTTTTTCTTTAGCATCTTAAGATGACGATGAACTTGTGGCTTGTACTGTTGTTGTTTCAAAAGACTACTCTACTTTCTTGAAAATTCTCTCAAGGAACTTATATGAGTGATTGTGCTTTTTGATATAAAGAGTTTTAATAGTTTCTTTTATTATATGTTATAATATCTGGACATACTCGTTGTCAAAGTTAGCTGATGATGGTACACTACACAAAATATGGGGCCTCTTGTTATTTATATACTACCATTTTGGCCTTTGAAACACGCGCCGTCGACGACTTGCGTGGTAGGTGGTGAAGTGAGTATGCGGTGCTGGTTCACCAACTCAAAAGCAGGAGGGGTTGGGGAGAGATAGTGACATTACCATTTTGTAGTTGGTAAATTGTTTACAATAGTTATGTAACTTCATATTCTTTTTGGTTCCTTGAATATCCCAGAACCCATGCCAAGACCCATACTAATCCTTAGAAAGTTATTTTACCAGCGATAGATAAACCAAATTACTCTATGTGAGAATTAGATATCTATGCTGTCTAGTCATACATGAAATTAACAATTTGCATTAGAGAGATTAATCCTTGGCCTGATCAATATGATGACTATTAATCAAAAGAAAACCAATAACCACCACCATTTGGTTTATGTAACTTCTTCATGCTGGCTAGTTAAAAGCCTAAACTCGAATATTTACTATTCCCTCCGTTTCAATATAATCCAATTTTAGAGAAAAGAATTTGTTTCAAAAAGATACATATTTCACATTTTCAATGCATCATTTAATGTTAAATTAAAAGTTTCAAAACATTTATTAAAATCCCATTGGTTAAAAGTTATAGGAAACAGTACATTGCAAAAAATAATAGATTGATAATTTAAAATTTAAAATTTTCTTAATATGTGGGAAAAATACTAAAACATGCATCTTATTGACATGGAGGGAGTAGTTATGTAAAGTCCATGATCAAATGATTTAACTAAGAGTTTATTAATATTATTACATATATATATATATATAAGTTCTAAAAACATTTATTAACAATTAGCATGCCTAATGATAGATTTTTAAAAATATTAACAATTAACATTTATTACCAATATCTAAAACAAATAATAATATAAAAAAATTAAAGGGAAGAGAATGGACCTATATCTCAAATTGAACTCTACAAGAACCTTTTTCAAACTCCTTTTAGTTACATGCCATTATTTTACTGGTTAAGTTTTCTATTTTTAGTTTAAATTTATATGTAATTTTTTACATATAATCTCTTTATTGTCTTTTTAATTAACCAATAGATGTTTTTAAAAATTATTTTAATTTGAATAATTCTACATTAAATAAGGGTATATTAATATATTTGTTTATTTTTTAATCTGCGTGAATTATGTATGTTTAAGTGACATTTATATTGAAAAGGAGGGAATATAATATTTACTATTTACTAATATCAAAACTCTTGTAGTCACAACAAAAAGCCTTTTAATTAAACACATTGACTGACATTTTGCTATTTACATTGAGTAATTATACATTGGGTAAATATTATAATTATCTTAGATAAAAATGTAAATAGTTAAAAGTAAGTTGACTGGTAAAGTAACACACACTGGACTCACCAAACATCTTGGGATCTCTGTTTCTATAAAATAGTGACTACAAGACCCTGTGTGAAGCACTCGCCTTTTCGAAGTCTCGTTCAGACCAAACTCAACCTCTCACTTCCAATCATCAGACGATGAAGGTGATTGACAAGATCCAGTCTTTAGCCGACGAAGGCAAAACAGCCTTCTCCTTCGAGTTCTTCCCACCCAAAACCGAAGATGGAGTCGACAATCTCTTCGAGCGTATGGACCGTATGGTCGCGTACGGACCAACCTTCTGCGACATCACTTGGGGAGCTGGTGGATCTACCGCAGATCTAACCCTAGACATAGCTTCGAGGATGCAGAACGTTGTCTGTGTAGAGAGCATGATGCATCTCACGTGCACTAACATGCCTGTGGAGAAGATAGATCATGCTCTTGAGACGATTAGATCTAATGGGATTCAGAATGTTTTGGCGCTTAGAGGAGATCCTCCTCATGGTCAGGATAAGTTTGTGCAGGTTGAAGGAGGGTTTGGTTGTGCTTTGGATCTTGTGAATCATATTAGGAGCAAGTATGGTGATTACTTTGGGATTACTGTGGCTGGTTATCCTGGTAATGTATTATTGTCTCTGTTTTTGAGCTTTCTTGTTTGGTGTGATTGTGATTTGAGATTAAAGTTTGGATCTTTGTAATGTAGAGGCTCATCCTGATGTTATTGGAGAGAATGGGCTTGCTTCTAATGAAGCTTACCAGAGTGATCTTGAGTATCTGAAGAAAAAGGTCTTGTTTTTTCTTTGTTCTGTTTCCTCTGTTTTTGTTGTAAAGGTCCTGTCTTTTGTGTTTTGTTTCCTCTGTTTTTGGTTGTAAAGGTTTTGACTTTTTTTTTTGCATTTGTGTATTTGAATTTGGATTTTTTTTATGGAACAGGTTGATGCTGGAGCTGATCTGATTGTTACTCAGCTTTTCTATGATACTGATATCTTCCTCAAGTTTGTGAATGATTGTCGGCAAATTGGGATTAAGTGTCCCATTGTTCCTGGAATCATGCCCATTAATAACTACAAGGGGTTCTTGCGTATGACTGGTTTCTGCAAGACCAAGGTGTGTTTTTGAGCTCTTACTATAAAGTATAAACATCATAGTCCTGAAAGGGAATAACCTTGAAGCTGATGGATGATACTAATGATGATAGTCACATAGTGACGTAGGTTTTATTTTTCTGCTCTATATTGTAGATACCAGCTGAGGTCATGGCTGCATTGGAGCCTATCCAGGACAATGAAGAAGCTGTGAAGGCCTATGGTATTCACCTTGGAACAGAGATGTGTAAAAAGATTTTGGCTCATGGAATTAAGTCTCTACATCTCTACACATTGAACATGGAGAAATCAGCTCTTGCAATATTGATGGTTGGTTTTCAGTTTCTTACTACATGTTGTACTACTGGAGTATACTAACTATCGTTGATGATGTTGCAGAATCTTGGTATGATTGATGAGTCCAAAATTTCTCGCTCTTTACCATGGAGACGCCCTGCAAATGTTTTCCGTACTAAGGAGGATGTGCGCCCCATTTTCTGGTAACCACACTTAGTTCCTCCTATCTTTGATTATGCATAGCCACAGATGTTTAGCCACAGAGAGAGTATAAGACTTTCTCAATATTTTTGAAGGGCGAACCGTCCAAAGAGCTACATATCAAGAACCAAAGGTTGGGAAGACTTCCCACAAGGCAGGTGGGGTGATTCACGCAGTGCTTCATACGGTGCACTCTCGGATCATCAGGTACTACTACATCATCTGTAATTTCATATCTCTCTTTCAGGATTTCATAGCAAATGGGTTTTGAAGGAGCTCTAGATTGCTATATCATGTAAGTGTTCTTGCCAGCTTCACTGTTAAACTAAATGCTTTTTGTTGTCAGTTCTCACGTCCACGAGCACGTGACAAGAAGCTTCAACAAGAATGGGTTGTCCCATTGAAAAGCGTTGAAGATATTCAAGAGGTAGAACATCTCTTTCACTACTACACATAAACAATTATTTCCTTCACTTACATTAATCTTGTCACACAACAGAAATTCAAGGAGCTCTGCCTTGGAAACTTAAAGAGCAGTCCATGGTCTGAACTAGACGGACTCCAGCCAGAGACAAAGATCATTAACGAGCAACTGGTGAAAATCAACTCCAAAGGCTTCTTGACTATCAATAGCCAACCATCTGTCAATGGAGAGAGATCTGATTCCTCAACTGTTGGTGAGCAACATGTTCCCTCAAAACTTTTTTTTCCTTACTAGTGCTATTGACTCAAGACTCATCAAACCCTTCTCACTTCAGGATGGGGTGGTCCTGGTGGGTATGTATACCAAAAGGCTTACCTAGAGTTCTTCTGCTCAAAGGAGAAGTTAGATGCAGTTGTTGAGAAATGCAAAGCTTTGCCATCTATAACTTACATAGCTGTGAACAAAGGAGACAACTGGGTATCAAACACTGCACAATCCGATGTGAATGCTGTCACTTGGGGAGTTTTCCCGGCCAAGGAGATCGTTCAACCAACTATTGTTGATCCCGCTAGCTTCAAAGTCTGGAAAGATGAAGCGTTTGAGACTTGGTCAAGAAGCTGGGCTAACTTGTACCCTGAAGCTGACCCTTCCAAAAACTTGCTTGAGGAGGTAAACTGAACAAAAGAAACAAGAAGACTTTTTCTTGATTAGTTTTGCTTTTGACAATGGTTTATAAAATGATTTTCTATTTGGAATGCAGGTGAAGAACAGCTACTATTTGGTGAGTTTGGTAGAGAATGACTACATCAACGGTAACATATTCACAGTCTTTGCTGATATTTGAGAAGATCAAGAAACAGTTCTATCGATTTCCCACAGCTTTCATGATTTGCTTTTTGTAATGTCTTAAAAAATATTGTGGTTTTGGTTTCTACTTCCTGTACCATCATTATCATATTGATTTGCCAATAAAGTTATTTATAAGAAAACATCAGTTTCATTACCTTATAAGATCTAAACAAAAACATAAGATGAGGTTAAGAAGGTGACAAATATAGATTCAAATGATAGATTGTTGAGGTTTATGAAACTTGAGGAAGCTGAGCTTCTTTCTATGCTTCAAGTGCTCTGTTTCTAGCCAAAGAAATTATTAAAACAGCCTTACAAAATGCTTCAACATTGTTATAAAGAAACCAAACTATTACACAAACTTGAGAAGAACAATACAAGTAACAACAAAACATTTGTCAGAAGCAAAGACTCCACTTTCAATAATCGTCTCCTTTGGAAATAACCTCTTTGCAAGTTGGCCTCAACAAGATAGTATGCTCAAACTGAGAAATATAGCTTCCTTTCACATCACACAATGGAGGGCATGGCTTAAAAAACAACCCAAATAAGCCAACTTTCAATTAAAATGTTAATCAACAGAGTTAACCAGAGGATATAGTCAGCTAACAGGTTTTACCTCAATGATGCCAGAATCACACAGATTCTTTAAAGCCATTAAGTATTTAGTTTCACCAAGACGGTCCAAATAGCGTCTGCAAAAGGCTAGAGTGGAAAAGTTCTTGTTAATGGTTGCAAGGAGTTGTTTAGCTCTTGGTAGCCTCAAGGGGACGTGACCCACATCGAAGTTTTTCATGTAATGGCTACATTCTAAGTCATCTCTCACATATCCTTTCCCTGCAAGAAATGACACAGAGAAGAAAACAATCTTAGCTAAATTTGATTCTGCTTCCACTTAGTCCAGTGCCATTTTCTTACCAGTTGATCCAAAAGTTTCAATGGCATATTGTTCACCCTCTTCCATCTTTGTCTGCTCCCCTCCTCTAACGTTAGGAACAGATTTGTCAGCATGAATCTGATAGCGTCCAATGCTGTGCCCGTTCAGGTTTCTTAAACTTTTCACTGACATGGCAAAAGACACAACACTGTTACACCTTCTTCTTATAGTCTAAATAGAAACCACCAAAAGAGTAACCATTGAAGAAATCTACGTAGGAGGTTTACTACCTTGGTAGACTTTTCCATTGATCTCTACCTCATAAGACTCCATCACCTCCTGTATTGCAGCACCAACATCACAAAGCCGGACATCAACTCCAGCTTCCTGTCCCAACAAAAGAAAACAAAAACAGTTATCTTACTTGCCACAAACAAAAGGCCTAAACTAAATAACTTCATTTGGTTGCTCAATGAGCTTATATGACCTCAGCAATCTCAAAAAATCAGTTGGACTTAAAATGTAAAGATCAAAAGGAAGAACATTCAAGGACAGAAGAATCCTAATTATTAGCAACAGAAGAAATGTAAGCACCTTGATACCAGTATATGTTGCTTCACGGGAGGCTGCTAAAAGAGGATCAAACATAGGATTGAATGCAACTGTAAAAGCAGAATCAACAATGTACCCTGAAAAAACAACATACATTAATGTTTTTCAATGCGGCATTTACATTAATAGATACAAAAAAAAAACAGATGAAATTTTGTTGTTTTTAGCATACCATCAATATGAGTTCCAAAATCCAATTTCATCACATCATCATACTGAAGAACAGTCTTATCTCCAGAGTTTGGTGTCCAGTGAGCAGCAACACTGAATGTTCAAGTAAAATTTGAGACACACTGATAGAAAGAAACAAAAATCAAAGAAGTGAAGTAAGTAGGAACTAACTTATTAAGAGAACATCCTGTAGGGAAGGCTATACCAGCTTGAAGACCATTCTCTGATATCAACTTACGTACAGTGTCCTCTAAGGTCTCACAGATATCAATCATCAACATTCCAGGCTTCATTATGCTTCTCATATACTTCCTAACTTGACGATGAACTTCTGCTGCTTGTCTCAGAGAGTTGTATATAGGCTTTTGAAGCCGCTCCATCTCTCTCTTCTCTTCAGATGTTGTCCTCCACAGATTACTACACATTACAAGACAGACTCAGTTACATAGAATTAAGTCTATTACATTTTTACTGTCGATTTTTTGACATAGAGTAATAAGGTATGTGAAACTCACTCATCCTTGTAGTGTTGGATTTCACCTTCAGGGAATTCTCCAGAAGGGAAGAGGTCAATAAAAGGTATTGAAGGTGGATCAGTCTGCTGAAGTGAACTCTTCTTCTTCTTCTTCCTGTTAACAGCCAAAAGATTTTGGAGTTATGATCACCAAAGCAAACATTGAAAGATAATAGACAAACTAAAATGTTGACTTCTCACTTGTTTTTACTTTTCTTCTTCTTCTTTTTGTTTGTTGAAGACTCAGCTAAAAAAGGAAAAGACAAAAAAATAAAAACTAATCAAACCATAAAACAAAGACATTAGAGAAACTCAAGAACCAAACTCACTTAAAACTACAAGATCAATCAGAAACAAGAAGTGATTTACCTTTGATTCCCTCTTCTTCTTGGTTATCATCTTTTACATCTTCATCAAGATCAAGATTCTTTGAAAAGTCTGAAGCTAATAAAGCCTCTTTTCCATTAGAAGACTCAGCTTCCACATCAATACTTTCATTCTCCATATCAGCCACTTCTAACAAGGAACTAAAAAGAGAAATCCTACACCCTTTAACAGAGATGAATGTATTATGCAAGTCTTCTCTTTGGTTTGAATAAAAGTCAAACTCTTTATTTAACTTACTTAGAGCATGTTCAACGCAGGAGTGCTTATTTCTTTTTATTTTTTTTTATTTTTTCTTTTTTTTTTTCGTTTTTTACTTAAAAAAAAAAAAAAAAAATTTTGACCAATCGTGGGCCGCCACGTGGCATGGGGCCCACGAAACAAAACAAGCTTCGCTGCTTATTCTGGCTTTTTGGCAGCGGTGCTTCTCTTTTTTTCCCTCTTTTTGTGGCCCCCCCTTCCTAAGCAACTCCCTAAAACCCCCCCCATTGATCATGCTCTTATTCAACTTGAGTTTCTCTTCCGTAAATATGATTAGTCAAGAAAATTGTAAAATGCCCCCAACATAACTTTGGTATCTAAATTTAATAACTCGACGCTCTTTATTAAGCCCATTAGTTAGAGGCCCATTAACATTAATCAAGCGTTATCTGATTAATTAAATTAAATTGACAAAAAACCTGTCGTTCAGACAAGAAGTGCTTTGTCATCATTACTCAACGGCTACTTCTCTATTCGTCTCTTTTCTTCCTCCTCTGTTCTAGGTTTCGAAGATAATCAAATCCGGTTTAGTTAATCAATCTCTCATCGCTTGTAATGGAAACCAGAACCGACCGGTTTGTTCAAAATCACCCACCGACACCGGCAGTAATCGCTCCGACGCCGGTTCCTCCGCCTTCAACGCGGCGGCCAAGAGTAAGAGAAGTCAGCTCCAGATTCATGTCTCCGGTTTCATCTTCTTCTTCCTCTTCTTCCTCCTCGGGAGATTCTCCCAGACATCTTCACCAGAAGTCTAGACGGCAGTTAAAGTTACCAGACGGAGGTGAGAACAGATCTTCCGAGACCGCGCGTAGCCTAGACTCGCCGTTTCCTCAAAACCAGAAGCAGAATCGATCCAAGCCGTTGAAAGAGAACGGGCACCGTCTCGACACTCCCACGACGACTATGATGTTACCTCCTCCGTCAAGATCTCGGTTGAATCAGCAGCGTTTGCTTAACTCTTCAGCCGCGGCTAGGCTTCTCCGATTATCTGTATCCACCGACGGTGAAGAAGATGACAAATCCAACGGCTCAAAGCTCTTCAACACTCCCGCCTCCTCACCTCTTCGCCGATCCCTGAGTTCATCTTGCGACGATGTTAGAGCTTCGTTGTCGGTTAAAGGTTCGTCGTTGCCTCCGGTGGCGCCTAACTCGAAGAGTCAAGCAGATACAAAGAGACAGAAGAGAGTTTTAGGACAACAAGCGGGTGCACACTGTCTGAAACTGCTTCATAACCGTTACCTGCAATGGAGATTCGCAAATGCAAGTGCTCAGGTCAAAGCTCAAGCTCAGAAAGCTCAAGCCGAGGTCAGTTTCTGAATCTCAAGACTTTCAGACAATGTGTTTTCATGTTTGGTAGATTGTTTCGTTATGAATTTTACATTTACATCAGTGTCAGAAGTGAATGTAGTTTATGTCAAGTTCTTTATGATGATGATATGTCAGAAGAAGCAAAAGTCTTTATCTATAATTGTGAAATTGACTTTCTTGCAGAAGATGTTTTATTCCATTGGTTTGAAAATGTCAGAGATCTCAGTCTCTGTACAGAAGAAACGCATAGAACTGCAAAGACTATTGAGAGTAAAAGCTCTTAAGGAGATTGTGGAGTCTCAAGTAAGTCAGATTGGTGATATAGTAGTTCTTCTTACACCAACAAAATGTTTGGTTTGTGATTAAACTAGTTTTAACTCTATGCAGATTCCTTATTTGGAACAATGGACAACTCTGATTGAAGAAGAATACTTAACTTCAGTATCAGAAACATCTGAAGCTTTATTGAATGCTTCATTGCGGCTCCCTCTTGACACTGATATCAAAGTATGTATTGTGGTTTTAGATTTACTAGGAAGAAAGCGCCCCCTCCCACTCACTAATAATCTTTGATTCTCAAAAAACAGGTTGATTATAAAGAGTTAGCAGAAACACTTGATGTTGCCTCGAAGTCTATGGAAGGCATTGTGCAAAACATTGTAAATTTTGTGCCTAAGGTTAGCAAAATACTATCAATGTGCTTATCACATGACATCAACATGAACAATTGCTGAAACTGAAACAACTTCCTTGGTGCACGTTGCAGACACAAGAGATGGAGACGTTGATGTCGGAACTAGCTAGAGTAAGCAGTAGTGAAAAGGCATCAGTAGAAGACTGTGGAGTTTCACTGCTTAAGACACATTCATCACATGTATGAACCTATAGCATAGAATCTGACTCTTTATTCTATAAGTTCATACATGTCAAAGTCTAAACAATGTCTCTGTTTTTTTTTTGGTGCAGATTGAAGAATGCTATCTTAGAAGTCAGCTTATTCAGCACCATCACCAGGAGTGTGAACTGCAACACAGCAAATATGTTGTTTGATGATACCATACGGTCAAGCACTGGTTTAGAAGCGAGCCACATACTAAGCATACTCTCTAGTATGCAACACCCAAGTTTTGAAGCTGAAGCTATTCGGTTTAGTTTCAAACCAATAAGCTTTGTATAGTTCTGCAAAGGGTAAAATTCGACCAATTATTTACATGTAGAACAATGTTGTATAACGTATATATCATATATGTTAGTGTTACTATATTATTTCAAAATAATATATAACTAGATTTGCAAAGCACGAAATATTTTATGATAAAATATTCACTAATTATTAATAAATGTATTGTTAATTTGAAAGAATTTGTGTATTTAAAATATTTTTGTTTTTGTTTTTAAATCAGTGTTTTTGAAATTTGATCCAAACACGCGATTTAACTGGTTAATCCAAAGATCTGATCATTTGATTTAGAATTTTAAAAATCTTCATATTTAAAGAATCACTAAAACACAAAACTAACTAAATCAATGGATAAACAATATATAATATTAAAATCTGTAAAACTAAATTCTATTTATTCTCAGTTGTTTTATAAATTATTTGAATTTTATAAACTATTTAATTTATCTAAATAATTTAAAAGAAAATCGTTAGAGATAATTAAAAATATGAGATCTAATATTTTGTATTGTTTGGAAATAAGATTAGTTATAATTTTATTTAGAAATATAGATAGTAGTATAAAAAAATAAATGTAGGATATATTGTTCGGAAACATGAATAGTATTTTTTTTTTTGGTTGACATCAACATGGATAGTAATATTAATAAAAAATATTAGTAATTTAATATAGATTTAACTAGAAAGTATATAAAGTGTATTTAATTTAAAAACTTAGGTCCGATACAAATCTATAAAACTATAACCTTGGCTTGTACCCAAATATTTGCAGAAGAAATGATCATAGAGTTAACCAAGCTAAACCGGATTCATTTAATTAATTTTTTAGTATATCGCAAGAGGCCCACACCAGGCCCATACCCTTCAGTATTTAGTCGGCGAGAGCGCGGGAGTGCGAAAGCAATATAATTACAACCTCCGGTGAGATTTCGATTCAAACGAAAGAGGAAGTAAACCCTAATTTATTGAAGCGATCGAAAGAGAGAAGGAGCAATCATGGGAATGAAAGTTTTTGAACGTATGGAAAGCTGAGCAGAAAGAAGAGGCCGAGCAGAAGAAACTCGAGGAGCTTCGTCTTCAGATCGTCCTAAAGAGAGAGCGCTCTGATTTTCGCTCTCTTTAGGAACAAGCCGGTCTCGTACGGTAAGTTTTTCCTTCTTGTACCACAAGGCTTATGTCGGTGGCACCGTTTTGCTCTTTGCGAAAAATAAGGCGAAAAGGTGATTTGGGTTATCTCGTTCGATAATGGCATGGCTGTGCGCGGTGGTTCCACCGGATTTACCTACCTCTCCGATGAGTGTAGATATACATCTAAGGAGGAGGCATAGGTTTCCGATCATGGAGGAGGTACAATTTCTGGTTTTGATCAAGGTGGAGGTTTTGGTTTGGATTCCGATAATGTTGGAGGTACGGATTTGGGTGTCGAGAAAGGTGATTCGGGAGTAACAAAGGATTTGAGAGATGGGGTATTGAAGAAAGGAGATCCAAGATGGGTCTCAAAGGTGAAGGATAAGAGGGTTCTGAAAAAGTATAAGGTTGAGGTTACTTCGATCGATGGTAAGAACAAGGTGGTGATTCCAGATGATATTCTTTCTGAATCAACGCCATTATAGGAGGATTTCATTGTCAGGAAGTTTCTGGATCTTGCACCCCATATCGCTAAGGTTCATATGGTGCTGAACAAGATCTGGAGCTATGGTGATTCACGCTCTAAAGTGGAGGTCTATGATGTGAATCCTAAGACAATGAAGTTTAAGATAACAAATCAGAAAGCTCGAGAGAAGATCATCAAAAGAGGAATGTGGAATATAGCTGGAGTTCCAATGGTGGTGAAAAAGTGGACTCCGACGACAGAAGAGGAGAAACATGAGGAAGAGTCAATTCTGATGTGGGTGCATCTGAGCAAGATTCCACTTAATACATTCACATGGGAGGCTCTAAGCTTCATGACGAGTACAGTGGGGTTTCCACTGCGACTTCATCCAGAAACTATTGGATGTTCAGATTTTGAAGAAGCAAAAGTTTTTGTTAATGTTGATGTTTCAAAAACCTTGCCTAAGAGATTGATTTCACATTGGGAGGTAAGGAGTTCTCTGCGGAGTTTTACTATCCATGGTTACCTTCCAGGTGTAATATATGTGGCAAATGGGGATATAAAGAGAAGGTTTGTGTGATGGGAAAGAGGGGGAATAAATGGGATGAGAAGGGTGATAGGAAGGAGGCTCAAGGTGAAGTTAGAAGTGCGGTTAATGAACAGATAGAAGGAAGTGTAGTCAATAAAGAAGAAGAGAGTTATGATCAGGAAATTGGTGTTTTAGAGAAGTCTTCTGCTAAGACATCAGTCAGTAAGGAAGAAAAGGTTGCTAATGATGAGGAGCAAGTGAACGACTGGTCGTGTGTTGCTCTTGATAAAATAGGGAGAGCATTTTCAAAATCCCGCCAAGAGAGGAGAATGAAGTTCAAATCTCGGCATCAAAATACTCGGTCTTAGCAATTGATGAACTGGAAGAAGATGAGCATGTAGGAGTTCAGGAGACAGAAGAATAGGATAATGAGGAAGTGGAGAAATCCGATAGAATGGAAGGTGATATGTTGGACGATTTACAATCATAACACATCTACCGACGACAAATTTTGCTAACGATTAAAATTAAATTTATGTAAATTTAATATAAATAACCTAATAATAAGTATAATTTTAATTATATACTAAAGGCTCGATGAACTGGCGTGTGAGTTTGGCAGACCAATTTTTCCTTCTACCAACGGTTATCCTTAGGATTATACGCATTAGACTTTGGCGTTCTTTTTTGCTTAAATATGTTATATTGTTGACAAATTCTTTATGTCCCTCCTTTTGTTGGCATGCAACTTTAATGGTGCAAATGGTGAATAAGTATCATTGGAATATTGATCTTATCCCCACAATGAATTTGATTTTGGTATTATATCAATTATGAGTCGTAAGGAAACATGTGGTATTAAAAACTAATATGCATGATGTCTATATTCACGGACATGATAAACAAACCAACTATTTCCTATTTGTTTTTCTTTAACATCTATAACATGCCTAGTATAACTAAGTTGAATAACAAGTCTATTGTGTTCCCTCACTCTCTATGGATTCGATCCCTAAGTACTACAGTTGAACTTCTTATTCGAGAGAGTTATTAGTAGCTCTATGGTAATATGCACACGTATCACACACTCATACCTAAACTCTTCATAATTACTCTCAAGTTTTTTGCTCTGTCCGAGCTAGACTGTGAGAGGTCCTTGAGATCATTCCAGCTCTTCTCTTCATAGATCCTCTAGATTTCACAATTTTAAAATCCCTTAATACCAGAACCCTCCTAGTATCTAGTGAATAGCACTTATAACCTTCTAGCTTTCTGAGTAGACGATGAACATATCCTTTGTACTTTTAGCTTCAAGCTTATTACTCCATATTTTACTTAATTTGGACACTTAATTTTAAAAAGTATCTCACAAGTACAATGTGTCTTATAATGTAGCTGAAATGATAAAAAATATATAAGACAATATGTGCATTTTTGTTTAAAATTGATAATATAATTTATTGTCAAATAAATTTTAGAATATTGAAGCAAAACTAAAAATCTATAGTTTTTAAAATATTAATTTCAAAAAGAAAAATTCAAATGTTTATTTCATGTTTTTTTGAAGATCTTTAATTCCATAAAAGGTTATTGATTTATGATTCTGTTGACCATAACTTTCTTAATTTTGAATACCATTTTAAATTTTGTTGACTTTGAATACCATGATAATCATGACTTTTCAAACATCAAATCTTAAAAGTTGGTGACTTATAAGATTTAAAGGACTCCATTTGATTCTATTACTTTTCTTATTAGTAGAAAAATCATTCTTATAAGGGAGTTTACATGTATTATGCTCAACAAAATCTCAAATTATAATTTTTATGGTATTTGAAAATAGTCAGAAATTTTAAAGGTTTACTAATATCTTAATGTTTTAAAAGTTCATCTATATAAACAACAATCATTCTTAAACTATTAACTATAAAAAATAAACTCAAAAAATATATTATAGAACTTTTATCAGAGGATGAAGTCTTCAAGATTGCACTTTGTTGTTTTTCTCATTATCATATCTTTCATTCTTGATATTCAATCTGCTCGTAAGTTTTCTTATGTTCTTATCAACAAAAGTTTTTGTTTTCCTCATATATGTATATTATATAATAGTGTGTAAATACCAAAAATTTGTTTACAGTTATTTTTTATTTTATAACATACTTACTAAGATATTATGGAAATTATATTTACCAGGAATTATGGATGATTCATCAAGCGATTGTGAATTCAAAGGACCTTGCCAAACGAAAAAAGATTGTTACGAGAGATGTGGAGTGGGAAAACCACCCTTCAAAATTGCTTTGTGTGAACCTTATGGACGTTCACGTGTATGTTGTTGTATCTAATTATTAATAACTTCATTTGATAAAAATTATGTCTTTAGTTTTATCTGAAAGATCAAATAAATATAGCAATATGATATGCTTACACACTATTCTACTAGGTGATTTTCCCGTGCTCATGCACGGGTATAAATATTTTTAAAGTAAATATATGATAATATTGATTACTATTTAGTTTTAATTTTAAATTAATTTATAATTTGTATGCATCATTTATATTAATAATATAATTTTAATTTATTTATATAGTAATTTTATATATGTTATATCTAGTCGATTTTGTTGTTTTTACGGTTAATTTAGTTATCATTTGGATAAATTGATTTTTTTTTAATCCAACTGTAATATCTAATTTTTAATTAATTACTTATTTGCATATTGTGGATGTTGTCTTAGATATGTACATATATTTTTTGGAAAATTATGTATATCTTAAGATATATTGTACTTAGAATGAATTAAAATTTAACTAAAGTGTCTGATTCCAAAATACGTAAATTAATATAACGATAATATTCTAAAGTCACATGTATATATATAAATTTTATAAAAGAAATAAAATTGTAAGTGTTGATTAATATTTATTTTCATTTGTTAATATGTTTTGAGTTATCCGATGATCAATAGAAGGTTACATGCATAAGTAGTTGATACATTTTTGGAAGCTCATGAACACATATCAATATTTACAATAATTAAAATATTTATAAATTCTAAATAACTTTATGCTTTAGATTTAATGAATATAAACTAAAATTTATTTTAAATAATATTAAAATTGGGAATTCAGATCTGCTTTGGTATTATCATATTATGGTTATATTTAGTTTCACAAACATAAAAACATAAAATTTAATATTAAGAATTTTTTTTTAATAGTGATAAAATATCATATATCTAACTCATTAAATTAATTGTTAATTATTTGATAAAGCGATATTTATTGTTAAATTTATTTTAAGTTTTTAATATCTCTTAAAAATAAGCACTGCACAAAATTGTAATTATATTTGAAAATAATATTATATAGGTAAAATATAATTTATAGATAATTTTCTATAATTGAAAGATATTATAGTCAACTAAATAAATAAAAAATCAATAGTACTAATTATAAACTATTTTTATTACTCTAAAAGTATATTTTATGTTATTTAAAAATATTTTAAATGTATTATTATTATTTTGTGAACTTTCTTTTTTTATGAAATCATATTATATATACATATATTTTTCGTTTTTAATTTTTTTGTGACTTTATGAAAAATTTCTTTTTTATTACATATATTTTTGGAAATGTTTGAAAAGGAAACTAAATAAAAGAATGAATAATACTATTTTTAACTATTTTTAATTCATTAAGGGTATCAGTGTAATCAACCATCGTGAGAATGAACGTGAGAGCGCCACATAGGAAACTGACTTCTCAAATAATATTATAGAGATCTTCACTTAGATTTTGAATATATGTCAAGATATATCAAATTACATCCCTTCAATATATTGAGGGTTATAAATAGATCAAATTATGGATATCAACATATTTCCAGATACCAATTATGGATAACTCATCAAGCGATTAATAATTAACTATCATAAAATAATATATAATCACACAATAATAATTTATTTTATTGACTAATGGAATTATTAGAAAATTTTATTATATTTATTATTAAATGTTAAGCATTTCATATAAAATTCTTAACTTTTGACTGGTCAATTTTATTTATTTAAATTTCCGTTCTTACAATCATGACACTCTTACAATCATGACACACCAGCTGACGATACATTTTGCTAACGATTAAAATTAAATTTATGTTAATCTCATCTAAATAACCTTATTATAAGTATAATATTAATTGAATGCTGAAGGCTCGATGAATTGGCATATTAGTTTGGCGGACCAATTTTTACTTCTACCAGTGGTTATCTTTGGGATTATACGCTTTGGACTTTGGTGCTCTTTTTTGCCTAATTATGATATACTATTAATTGGCCAATTCTTTATGTTCCTCCTTTTGTTGGCATGAAACTTTAATGGTGCAAATGGTGAATAAATATCATTGTAATATTGATCTTGTCCCCACAATGAAGTTGATTTTGGTATTAGATCAATTATGAGTTGTAAGGATATATGTGGTATAGAAAGCTAATATGCATGATGTCTATATTCACGAACATGTTAAACAAACCAACTATGTTCTATTTACTTGTCTTTAACATCTATAACCTGCCTAACATAACTAAGTTGAATCTATTGTGTGCCATCACTCTACGTGGATTTCGATCCCTAAGTACTACAACTAAACCTCTTATTTGAGAGAGTAATCAGTAACCTTAGGGATTTTTGCGCACGTATCACACACTCATGCCTAAACTCCATAATGATTCTCAAGTTGTTTGCTCTGTCAGTGCTAGAATGTGAGAGGTCCTTGAGATCATTCCAGCTTTTCTTTTCGTAGAAGTCTCTGGATTTCACAAACTTGACATCCCTGAATACCAGAACCCTCATAGTATCTGGTGCATATAACTTATAACCCTTCTAGTTTGCTGAGTAGGCGATGAACATACGCTTTGTACTTTTAGCTTATAGCTTATTTATCCATATTTCACTTAATTGGACACTTAATAAGTGTCTCACAAGTACAATGTGTCTTATAATGTAGCTGAAATGATATAATGTTATTTTTATTTTAATTTTCTCATAAGACAATATGTACATTTTTGTTTAAAGTTGATGATATAATATATTGTCAAATAAATTTTAAATTATTGAAGCGAAACTAAGAGTCTATGGTTTTTAAAATTTTCATTTTTTTAAAAAAAAATTTTTTATTTCCTTTCCTTTTTTTTTTGAATTTTTTTTTGTTTATTTCATTTCATTTATTTTTGAAAATCTTTAATTCAATTAAAGGTTGTAGATTTAAGATTCTGTTGACCCTTAATTTCTTAATTTTGAATACCATTTTAAGTGGATGTCAAAAAAAAAAAAAAAAAAAAAGAATACCATTTTAAGTTTTTTTT